TACACCTGTAATCCTGACTACATGGGAGGCTAAGGCAGGAGGATCATAAATTCAAGGCCAGCCCAAACAATTTAAAAATTTTAAAAAGCCAAGTGCCATGGTCCATACCTGTAATTTCAGCAATGGGAGGTGAAGGCAGGGCTGCAAGTTTAGAGGGGCTAGCCTGGACAACTTAGACCCTGTCTCAAAAATAAAATTAAAAGGGCTAGAGATGTAGCTCAGTGGTAGAGCACTTGCCTAGCATACATGAGGACCTGGACCTGCAAACAAACACTATGCCAACATATGTCTGTCATCCTTATAAAATTGGCTTTTTTGGTTAGATTCTTCTCCACTTCCTGTGTAACATTCCTTCCTTCCAGGTGTAGGTCAGGACACCTATCCCTTAAGTGTCCTCCGGAGAAGGGGTAGAAGATGATCAGAGAAACTTTCTTTTCTATGGGTTTCTCAATTTCCTTCATCTTTAAAGGTAATAAGAGGTCATATTTGGGGGTAGCACTTTCTATACCCACCAAGTTCCAGACCATATTCTAGGCATTAAAGGTACAGCCATGAAGGAACAGATGAGGGTCTCGTCCTCAAGGAATGGAGGCTCTCTGCTACTGTTGTTTGAATATGTTCCTCAAAGTTCTTGTGTTGGAAACTTAATCCCCAACGCAAAAGTTTTGAGAGGTGGAAGCTTTAAGAGGTGAGTAGAGATATAACTCGGTGGTAGAGAACTTTCTATCTATTAGCTCCTTACTCCACAGTGAAGACACTGCCTCTACTCTCTCCCTTCAAGCTAGGGTCCCATCTGTACTCATCTCAGAATCCGGGCTGTCCATGTACTCCTACTGTCTTCACCTCAGTCACTGCATGCCAACTCCTGTCACTCTGAGGGAAGGGCTTCTGTGAATCCCGCCAAAGGCTTCCATTTAAGCCTGTTTCTACTGCTATAATGATATACCTTAGACTGGGTAATTTATAAACAACAGAAATATGTTTCTCTCAGTTCTGGAGCCTAGGAAGTCCAAGATCAAGGTGCCAGCAGACTCAGTGCCTAATGAGGGCTGGCTCTGCCTCAAAAATGGCACCTCTCATGGCTTTCTTACATGGCAGATGGGGTGACTAGCTCTCTGATGTCTCTTTTTTTTTCTTCAGTTTTTTGGCGGACACAACATCTTTATTTTTATTTTATGTGGTGCTGAGGATTGAACCCAGCGCCCTGCGCATACCGGCGAGCGTGTTACTGCTTGAGCCACATCCCCAGCCCCTCCCTGATGTCTCTTTAAAAAAATTTTTTTTTTCAGTTGTATTTGGACACATACCTTTGTTTTATTTATTTATTTTTATGTGGTGCCGAGGATTGAAACCAGTGTCTCGCACATGCTAGATGAGTGCTCTAATGTCTCTTTTATAAGGGCACTAATCCCATTTGTGAGGGCCCCAACCTTATGATTTAATGACCTTCTAAGTGCTCTACTTCTTAATTACGATTCTAATATATAAGTTTGGGGTATGTATTAGCTTTATATTACTGTGACAAAATGCCTGAGATAACCAACTTACACAGAGGAAAGGTTTATTTAGCCTCAAGGTTTCAGAGATTTCAGTTAATGATCATTTAGCCCTATTGATCTGAGCCTGTGGCAACACAATACATCACTTAGGGAGGGTATGGAAGAGGAGGTCTCTTCACTTAATGGTTGATGAGAAGCAAAGAGAGAGAGGAAAGGGCCAGGGTTTCACAATCCCCTTCAAGGGCATGCCCCCAATTATCTACCTTCTTCAACTTCTTAAAGGTTCTACTACCTTCTAGGATTACCAAAGATCGGGGACTATGTCTTTAACATATGGGCCTGTGGGACACTTAAGATCCAACTATAGTAGTAGGGAGGCACCAACATTATAGCATTCTGCCCCTTGTCCCCCAAATTCATGTTGCTTTAACATGCAAAATACATTCATTCCATCCCAATAGCCCCCAAACTCTTCATTTTTCCCTGCATCAACTCTAAAAAGTCTAGAATCTCACCTAAATCAAATAGATAAAGGTGAGACTCAAGTATGATTCCTCCTGAGGCAAACTACTTTGCATCTGCAAACCTGTTTGATCAAAGCATATACTTCCAAAATATGATGGTGGAACAGTGATAGGATAGGATAATCAAAAGGGAGAAATTAGAAAAAAGAAATAGGTCCCAAGAAAATCTAAAACACAACAAAGTAAAAAACATGAAATCATCTCCCCACCTTCCTTTTTCTTGATGCTAAGGACTGAACCCAAGGCCTCATATATGCTAAGTATGTACTCTACTACTGATCTATGTCTCCAGCCTAATAACATTAAATTTTTAATATATATATATATATATGTGTATATATATATATATAATTATATATATTTATAAAAATATTTTATATTATATTAGTTGTAGGTGCTGAGGATCAAACCCAGTACCTCATGTGTGCCAGGCAAGCACTCTACCACTGAGCCACAACCCCAGCACATAACATTAAATCTGAAGCCTCAAGAATAATTTTCTTGGACTGAGGCTGTGGCTCAGTGGTAGAGTGCTTGCCTGGCACTTGTGAGGCCCTGGGTTCAATCCTTAGCACCACATAAAAATAAATAGAATAAAGGTATTTAAAAAAAGAATAATCATCTTTGATTCCATATCCCACTTTCTAGATACACTGGGGCAGGGTTTGAGTCCCCAAGATCTGTGGTCTTGTCCTCATGGCTTTACTGGGTATAGCCCAGGCAGCAGCTCCCATTTGCTGGAGTCACAATTTGGAATTGCATACTGGTAAGCTCCACTGGTCTGCAGTTTCAGAAGCAGTCCTGCCCCATGGCTGTGCCAGGCACTGCCCTAGGTAAGGACTTTTTACAGTGGCCCTTGTGGCAGTTCTCTGGTAGTTTTTTACAGTGGTCCTTGTGGCAGTTCTCTGTCTGGTAGCCGAGGCTTTTCTAGGCATTCTTTGAAATCTACATGGAGGTAGCTGCACCTCACAATTTATGCACTCTAGATTGTGGTGAAGATGGCACCACACCTGGGGCAGGCAAGGAGTGCTATGACAGAAATTGGGGAGCCAATAGATGGGTGAGGTTCCTCTTCTGACATCTTTCTATTCCTGAGGCCTTGACATTCTGGGCCTGTGATGCTAAAGGCAGCATTAATAATTTCTAAAATGCCTCTGGGGTCATTTTTCCACTGTCCTGATGAATAGCACCTGGTTTCTATGGTTCCATACTGATCTCCTTATCATAAGATTGTTTGGCCATACCTTGGAGTTCTTTTCCGGATGTGCTTATTTCATTCTTTACAACATGGCCAGACTAAGAATTTCTGAAATGAATCTTTATAAAAAAAACATATTTACTTATTTATTTTTATGCAGTGCTATGGATCAAACCCAGTGCCTTACACGTGTAAGGCCAGCGCTCTACCACTGAACTACAGCCCTTGCTCATAAATCTTTTTAAAAAATTATTTTGTGGTACTGTGGATCAAATCCAGTACTGGGCCCTTTCCTGTGGGGAAGGCCATGAGACATGCCCTTCACTGATCTGGGCATGACTTTGGTTCTGTCAGCTCTACCCACCATGAATGCACAGATGGGTGGAACACTCTTGCCTTAGTTTCTCTATGAATCTAAATAGCTTTTTAAAATTCTTGGCTTAATATAGTATGGATGCAAGGGCCTCACACACACTACTGAGTTATACCCAAGCCCAGTTTTCCAAGTCTTTTTTTTTCTTAATTTTTAAATTTTTTTTTAAGTTGTTGATGGACCTTTATTTTATTTTTATGTGGTATGGGGATCGAACCCAGTGCCTCACACATGCTAGGCAAGCACTCCACCACAATTCCAGTCCTGCTTTATTATTATTATTATTATTATAAATTCTGTCCTTAATCATTTCTGTCTTCTCACATTTTACTATAAGTGGTCAAGGGAAACCATGCCACACCTTCAACACTTGCTTAAAAATTTCTTCTACCAAAGATGCAGGTGTGCACCATTAAGCCCAGATAGATACCTTTGTGTTCATTTTTGTTGCAAAAGTAGCTGAAACCTATTCATCCAACACAAAAATTATATTACCTTAAAAAATAAAGAAAGAAAAATCAATGTCAACAGGTTACTCAGGATGGCTGGGGACAGGCTTCAGGATTGAGAGCAGCCATTTACTCCAGAATGTACAAAAAACAAAATCAACACCTGTTCAAACTGGCTTTGTATATTTTCCCTACACCCGGCAGGGGGCGTGCGACCTTCAGAGGCCTTATCTACTTTAAGAGAAGTGTGCTGGCGATCAGAGGCACACCCCTATAGTCCCAGCTACTCTGGAGGCTGATGTAGGACCATCGCTTTTGCCCAGGAATACTAGACCAGTCTAGGCAGCTGGGCAGCATAGCGAGACACCATCGTGTGTGTGTATGAATGAGGGAAGGCGAGAATGAGGAAGGGAGTGAGAGAAAGAGAAGAAATAAGGAAGGGAATGACTGAGTAAAGAATGGAATGAGTGAAGGAAAGGAGAAATAAATGAGGAAGATGAGAGAATGAAGGAGGGAATGAGTGAGTCAGTGAGGGAGGAAGAGATGAAGGAGGGAATGATGGATGAATGAATATGAGGGACAGAGGGAGTGAAGGAGACAGAGTGAGTGAAGGAGGGATAGTGAATGACAGAGCGAGGGAGGGAGGGAAAAGAGAAGGAAATGGTTTTACACCGCGTGACCCTCGCCAATAGGTGTTTGTTCCTTCATTCACTCGTTCCGCTCCACCAGGTGCCAAAAGCAGTGTCAGCGGCGGAGGCCACCTCCGCAGTTGCGGCCCTTTTCAAAGAAAAACAGGCCCTTCGGCTGCAGTGTAGCCCTTTCGGGCACCCGCTTCCGGCAGCGAGCCGCAGAGTGACTCCCCCGCCTCAGCCGACGCCCCCAGGCCTCCGTCCTCACCGCACTACGCTTGCGCGGAGGACCCACGTGATGACCAAAGATCCCGCCCCGCCCCCTGCAAGTGCGGCCTCAGCTTGCGGCGGCACCAGGTCAGCTGCGAGGCGTGGGCCGTGCGGGCCCGGCGGGCAGGCTGCGGGGAGCGCAGGCTGTGAGGTACCTGCGCAGGGCAGGGTCGAGCGATCTGCGCGGGAACGTGAGGGAGGGCGCGGCCGGAGGCGCGGGGGCGGCTGCCTGAGGCGAGCCCGCGGCCTGACGTGGCGGGGGCGCGGCGGGCGGGACCCCCGGGTGCGGAGAGATTGAGAGCAGGCTCTTTGCTGGCAGAGGATCTGGGCCTCCGCGCAGCTGTAGGCCGTCTGACTTCCTAATCTGCTGGCCAGCCCTGTCGCCCAGGCAAGTCCAAGTGTGGCCTTCCTCAGCCGCGACGCTCGGCGCTGCACGGAGCTGGACTTGCAACAGGCGGGCAGGTCCGGGTCTGGCCGATGCCACCTGGTGTGATCTAGGTTTGCCAGGCCTTAGTTTGCTCTGCCGCGCGTCCAGGTCTGGGCGGGGTGGGAGGGTGGCAGAGGCTGCAGCCGCGGGTGCTCATCCTCATCAGGTTAAGGGATTTCCTGAGAAGCCGGGGATCGCGCTCTCTGTGCAAAATTCTCGGGTCCCACTATTTTAGATAGTGGGCAGGGGAAACAGAACGGATCTGGGCCTGCGCAGCGGGGACGCCACCACCTTAAGCCCCGGGCTCCTCCCCAGGGGGCCCCTAGCTCTGGGCCTTGTCGTTGAGGCTGGGCCTTGAGCTGGGAAAAACTCATTCTGGAGCACAAATGGGTACCGTTTGAAAGCTTCCCTTCTGGAAATTAGAACCCACTCCCTTCTCTGTTCTCTGCAAGCTGTCCGCTTTGCTTTTGTTGCAGATTTGCTTCATACTGCTAAGGATTGGGGTTCGGTGAGGGCAGACACTGCTTGTTTGGGGGCGGTACAGAAGACTGAGGATGTCTACTCAGTAAATGATGTTTGGAATTGGGTTGAATATTCCTCTGAAATGCTTTTGGCTGTCTCATCCATAAATTCATGAAAATTCGTTTTATGTCCTTCAGTTTGTACCTGTTTGGGACTTTCTAGTTTCCTCTCTGCTTCCTCCTAAAACTTTGAATAGCATGAAATGGAGGAACCTTGCTTGGGATGACTAGAATTGGGGATGTTATGGGAGTGGGGTAAGGGGAGGGCTAGTGGAGGGCTTCAGGTTAGGGTAACCCTCTGTCAAATGGAAAGGGTGAGATGGATGCCAGTGTCTTGAGTTTCCACAAGTCCTCTCACCAACACCACTGTGGTACTGGGGTTTGAACCCAGGGCCGCAGACATGCAAGGCAAGAGCTCTGCCACAGAGCTCCATCCCCAGGACAGACAGACACACACATACATTGGGTTTTGAGACAGGATCTGGCCAAGTTGCTCAGGCTGGCTTCTAATTTGCCATCCTCCCACCTCAGCCTCCCAAGTAGCTGGTGTAAGCGTGCACCACCAACACCCATCTCCAGGAACATTTATTTATTATAGAAAAGTATCAGAAATGATTAACAAAGAATGAGTCACATTTTCATCTAATTTTTTTTTTCGTACCAGAGATTGAACCCAGGAGTGCTTAACCCCTGAGCCACAGCCCCAGCCCTTTTTGTTTTTTATTTTATTACTGAGGTTGGCTTTGAACTTGTGGTCCTCCTACCTCAGCCTTCTGAGCCACTGAGGTTACAGGCATGTACCACCACGCCCAGCTCCACCTAATTCTTTACTTTAAAAAGTACTACCGATTACAAAAATGTGGTTATAGTCAGAATTACTGTTCTTTTTAATTTAAATCAGCAAAAGTGTAAAAGCTGGACAGTGGCCTGAATCAGGTTTTCATTCTTTGTTGGTGGGGAGAATAAATTGGTACAACCTCTATGGAGGGCAATTTGGCAATGTTCATTAAAATGACAAGTGTACTCTAAAAATAAAATGACCCAGCAGTTCTGTATCTAGGAAATATTCCTCAGATATCTGCTGCACGTATGGCACATCTAAATGACTCAATGCACAACTGTTTGCAATAGCAAACAATGGGAGAAAGCCCATATGTTTCACCAGTATTGGGGGTCAGCTGGGCAGGGGTTGAGAATGTAGCTCAGTGGTAGAGCACTTGCCTAGTGTACATGAGGCCCTGGGTTTCATCCCCTGTGCTGTGGAAAAAAACCCACAGATGTCTTCTGGAAGGGTATGCAGGAAAGTGAAATAAAAGTTTCCTCTGAGAGGAGATCTGGTTGGTGCATACATGGAAGGGCCTTTTGAATTTGAAACATTAATGTATTACATATTCGAAAGAATATTTGAGAATTTCACTATTAAACATCTCAAATAGGATAAGTACATAGCAGGAATAATATTACTGTCAAATTCTAATATTTTGTCTTACATGTTTTTTCTTGTTTTTTTAAGAAGCAAAACATTCCCTTTTTTCTTCCTAGAGAAAATGCTCATCCTGAATTTGACGTTTCTTGGTTTGTTTTGTTTTGTTTTTGGTACTGGGGATTAAACTCAGGGGCACTCAACCGCTAAGCCACTGAGCCACATCCCCAGCCCTTTTTAATTTAGGGACAAGTTCTCGCTAGGTTGCTTAGAGTCTCGCTAAGTTGCTGAGGCTGGCTTTGAACTCGCAATCCTCCTGCCTTAGCCTCCCGTGCCACTGAGATTACAGGTGTGTGCCACCATGCCTGGCTCTTGTCTTATAAATGTGTTTATAGTGTTTTATGCCATACTATCTATCTATAAGCAATATTGGATAGTATCATTTTGTATGTCTTCAAACTTTTTGTAAACCAAGTTGTACTATAGTGATTCTGCAATTTGCTGTTTTCTTTCTGTATGACCTTGAGATTTTACAATTTTGGTAACTGTATCTTAAGTTCTAATTTGCTCATTTTAACTATTGGCTGTGGTTCTGTTGAATTCCTGTGCCCCAACACCTGTTCTCCTCAAGGTGATGTTTTGGTAATGGCTAGTGCTTCTGCAAATACATGGTCTTCAATGTTGCATTTCAGGCTGTGCTTCTTCATAGCAGGGAATTGTTTTTCACTCTCCACTCAGCACCTAACTGAGTTCCTTTAATTGTGCTTGATAAACACGCTTTGCCTGTACACGAAAATCTTCCTGTTTTATTATGCTTGTTCTTATGGTGGATGTTTAGGGAATAGCTACATGTATATTAAAAGGGAAGATGAGCTGCTGCGCTCAAAGCTATGGCAACCCTGTCTGAGAGGTTGATGTTTGTTAAGACAGTCAGTCATCATGATCACCCCTTGAGAAGGAGGCCTCTTGAATGTATGGTGGTCACAGTGGTGATGAGGAAGTTAAGGTTTGGAAATAGGAGCCAAGTGCCCAGAGTCTGTGGTTAGCAAGTATGTCCACAGGCACTTTGAGATGCTTGTGAGATAGATCCCTCCAGAATACTACATCTCCTAATGGTGAATAGATATGACAGGTTCCAGTGGTTGGGCATGTTTATCATATTTATGATAAGGAAATAAAGGTACAAATGATTGAGCTAGACCACAACCAATATAGGATTATGAGGGGGTCTAGGAGAGAGACTGAAAGTGTTGAGAGGATGACAGTTTTTTCTTTTGGCCAGGAAAAGGAAGGAAGACCTGAAGGAGGATTTTGAACCAGGTCACAGGGAGCCCCAGGTGGGAAGCAGTAAGGAATTATCATTTAAGAAATCATATGGTAAACTCAGGGCATTTTAGTACCTTCTTGTGGCCTGGACAGAGGAGCTAGGGAAGATGAGGCAAGAGGTAGGAAAATCAGTCGGGGCATCATTCCCTTGATCTGATCCTGAGTAAGGGCTGTGGAGGAATAAAAGGGTAACTCTCTGAGACAGGAGAAAGGGAAAAAAATCAACCTGAGGGTCTGATAGGGCACAAGACTTAAAAGAGAGCTTATTGAGACCATGTGGTTTCCATATGGAAACAGAAGCAGTACCAGTGACAAAAATAGATGGGTCGAGAGGACTTCTGGCTGGATTAGGCACTGAACTGGAGATGTGATTGGGAATGCAGGTTCTGGGGAAAAGTGTGGGCTAGAGCAGGGTGGGTGAGATGAAAGGAAGAGATCAGGAAAAGGGGACTTGCCATAGGGCAGTTTCCAGGCAGGAGATACTCCTAAGCCGGAGGTAATCAGTGAGGATATGCCTTAGCTTTGGCCATCTCTGGGGCCTTGGTGAGAAAGATGAGCCAATCCACAGTGGGAGGAAGGAGTGAGTTGGGGAGTAGGGGTGGGCAGAAGTCCTAAATTCAGGATACAGACTGGAGAGTTGAGTGTGTCTGATGGGAGGCATTAGAGCACACAAGTTCAGGAGGAGGGAGACGTGGGCAGCAGGGAGGTATGTGCTCCTAGACCTCAGTAGTGAGTAAGGATACCTCTTTTTGGACAGTTTTATATTAGAATCTCTTTTTCATTTTTGATTTTAAAAATAATGTAGGGGGACTGGGGATGTAGCTGCATTGGTAGAAACCTGGCCTAGCATGTGTGAAGTCCTGGATTTAATCCCTAGCACTGGGGGAAAAAAAAAGGGATATAGCAGGGAATTTAAGAAGATACGTATTTGGGGAGGGGAAAGTAGGGTAACTTGAGGTACAAAGAGCAAATATTCATGGCCTTGTGACTGATTGGCCACTGTATAGCCTAGAAACCATGCAGCTTTTGCTCACCATGCAGACCACTTATTCCTTGGTCTGGAGCAGCTGGCTGTCTACAGTCATTTCTAGTTTTTCACAGTCTGTATGGCAAAAGTGTGTTGCAATAGGTTTGTATTTCTGGTTGGGATTCTGAGGCTCCCATTCAAATCAGTGTGTAGGTTTCGAGTATACCAATTCAATTATTAGAAAGTAACCTCAAATTTAAAATGTGTTGCAGATGATCTCTAATGCGCCATGTCTAGTCCAAGTTACTATGCTTGACTTTTAGACTCTTAGTAAAAGAAGGCAGGTCCTGGAAATGGTATCTTGGTCCTCACCTTCCAGGAGAGGATTTCCAATTCAGGGACACTGCATTTGGGTTTCCAGACCACTTCTCAGGCCTTGCCTTTTTGGGGGGATAGTTCTGGGGATCAAGCTCAAGGTCTCACACATGCGTGCCTGGCAAGTGCTCTACCATTGAGCTAATACCCAGACAGGCGGGGGGGGGGGGGGGAGATACTTTTATCTCTCCTTTTATAGTTGAGGAACCTAAGGCTCAGGGCGGCCATGTCACAAGTCCTTGGTGGGGCGGGCTCACCAGATTTGGGAAAACTTTTACCCAGGTTTCCCAAACACCTTCTATATTACTATATTACTGAAGGAGACAAAATGAGATGAAGAACCTTATGGATGAAGGAACACAGGTCATCAGGAAAAAAGAAAAGTTGAACCAGAGGTGGGAGGAAACAGGGAACCAGAGGGCTTGGAATCATAGGGAACACCCAAGTGAGGGAGGCACAGGAGCAAGAATGAACAGCAGGTGCCTCAGGTACAGAGCTGGCCAGTTCATGCATGGCAAGGGTTCCACTTACCTGCTCATTCCCTGTCCCCTCTGTCTTCAGCAGACAGGCCACAGTGGTGAGGGTTGGTGTGGCTGTCAGAATGGCGGAGGAGCAGGAATTCACCCAGCTGTGCAAGTTGCCCACACAGCCCTCCCACTCACACTGCATCAACAACACCTACCGCAGCACACAGCACTCTCAGGCCCTGCTCCGGGGCCTGCTGGCTCTCCGGGACAGTGGGATCCTCTTCGATGTCGTCCTGGTGGTGGAGGGGAGACACATTGAAGCCCATCGCATCCTGCTGGCTGCATCTTGTGATTACTTCAGGTAAGTTACACCTGTTTTTACAAGGACAATAATACAGGTGATCCTGGCTCTAATATGCAGGCATCCTGGCACTAACAGTGTCTCCTATTCATCCCAGAGCCATTCCATTCCTGTCTCTTGTTTACATCAGAGCCATTCCACTGCCTGCTGTGGAGATTCAGTCAACAAGTGTGACACAGAAGGAGCCTTAAAGTTTGTTCTTTTAGCCATCCCATTTCTTGGTCATGTTCTCTTTATTAAGATAGTCATGCTTGGATTTACTTATAATGTTGCCTTTTATAAAATTAATCTTCTGTTTCAAGTACAATACCTTGGGGTAAAACAGATTTGCCTTTTATTTTACTCTGGTTTCCATCCCTATCCCCATCATCTTCTTTTGGAAAAATTTGAAAAACTGAGGAAAAGTTAAAAGAATAATATGATGGACATCTGAATACATGTCAGTTAACACTTTTGCCACATTGCTTTCCTGTCTTTGTATAGGCATACTTTTTTTTTTTTTTGTACCAGAGATTGAACTCAGGAGCACTCGGCCACTGAGCCATAGTCCCAGCCTTATTTTATATTTTATTTGCTCTCACTGAGTTGCTTAGCACTTTGCCATTGCTGAGGCTGGCTTTGAACTCATGGTCCTCCTGTCTGAGCCTCCCTGGCCGCTGGGATTACAGGTGTGTGCCACTGTGACTGGCTGGCCATACTGTTTTTAGGCAGTAGGAATTGAACCTAGGGCCTCCTGCAATTGAATCTAAGGCCTTCTGCATGCTAAGCAAACATTCTACCACTTAACTATATTCCCAGCCCTTCTAATTTTGAGATAGGGTCTTGCTAAGTTTCCCAGGCTAGCTTCAAACTTGTAATCCTCCTGCCTCAGTCTTCTCAGTAGCTGGAATTACAGGCATGCACCACTGCACCCAGCTATATATACTTTTTTTTTTTTTTTTTTTTTGGTATTTAGATTGAGCCTAGCGGCACTTTACCAATGGGCTATATCCAGCCCTTTTTATTTATTTACTTTTTAAATTTTGAGACAGGGTCTTACTAAATTGTTGAGGGCCTTGCTAAGTTGCCAAGGCTGAATCTGAACCTGCAGTCCACCTGCCTCAGCCTCCCAAGTTGCTAGGATTATAGGCAAGCACTACCATATCCAGCGTACACATACTTTTTTTAAAAAGACATTATAACACCTACCCTTAAGTCTTTTAGTACTCCTCTCATTATCATAATGCTAGCTGAGAGGTGCATATGAGCCCTGGTCACTCTTTTGGCACCCTGTAGGTGCTAAAGCCTAAAGCTGGGTGATTATTACTGTGTACACATTGTCTACACAAATACATAATGTTTAGAGGTACCCTTTCCATGGCACTCACCTTCTGGCTCACACCTCTCCTCCTCAAGTATCAGCCTCTGGCCCTCCCAGTAGTCTCTCTGGCTCCTCCAGCATTTTTCATGACTTCTTGTATGATCCCATGTCAGCCGTAAGCACATTGGGAAGAACCAGTAGCTTGTCTGTCTCACACTCTTGAGCTGGAATCTGCCTCTTAGTCCTATGAGTGCCTAACATGTAATTAGGGTTCTACAGACAGAACCAGAACCAACATGATATACATACATGAAAGGAGAGTTATTAGAAGAATTGATTCATTTGGTTGTGGTGGCTAAGAAGTCTCATGAAAGACTTTCTGCAAGCTGGAGACCTTGGGATGCCACTAGCATGGCTCAAAACAAGTCTGAAAGCCTCAGAATTAAAACTGATGATATAAATCTCAGTCTGAGGCTAAAGGCTTGAGAACCCTGGGGAACAATTGATGAATCCTGGAGTCCAAAGGCCAGAGAACCTGGAGTTCTGATGTCCAAGGACAGGAGACAAGAGTGTGCCAACATCAGATAAGGGAGATCACCCTTTCTCTGCCATATTTGTTCTGTGTGGGCCCTAGCTGATCTTCTCCATTCAGTCCACCAACCCAAATCACTCTCTTCTGGAGGCACTAATAATAATGCTTTTTCAGTTTCTAGGTACTCCTTAATCTAGCAAAATTGATACCTAAAATTAACCATCACAAGCATTTGTCACTTGGAGAGCCAAACAGTACCTATGACTTAAACAAATACATTTCTGTATTTCATTTCCTCTCTTGTCTGCATGGCTCTGTACCCTAAGAAGTTGGGTGCCACTACCCTCCTTTCTTGCTGATGGGAATGAAGCTCAGAAGGAGGAAGGGCTTCCAACTGAGAGTGGGACTCACACCCCAGTTTTTCCATGGTCATTCCATTCCACCTCTGATTCTGTTTGATCATTTTTATCTTCCATGCTTGATGGTAGTTTTCCCTTTTGCTCTCTATTTTTAGTTTTAGGAATTATAGAGCAAAATACTTTATGTGTATGTGTGTATATATGTTGGCAGGTACTTGGAATTTAATTCAGAGCCTTGCACATGCTAGGCAAGCACTCTACCACTGAGTTACACCCCTAGTTTATAACCTGTTTTTAAATGTTTCTATATATCTACACACGTTGTCTCTCTCTCTTTTTTTTAACGTCCATACACTTTCTTTTTGCAAACACTAATACACGATTCTAAAACCCCAAAAGTTCTGAAATTCAAATTCATTAAACCACAAAACTATATATATATATATATATATATATATATAATTTTGTCCTGCTTAGTGTGAGTCTATGAATTTTACTTTGGAAATACTAAGGTATTTGAATATGAGGTATTAATCCAGATCCCACTTGGTGTAACCTCCTGTATGGCATATGTATAGTATTTCTTTTTTTGTTGTTGTTAAAAAATATAAATATCTTTATTTATTTTTTTATGTGGTACTGAGGATTGAACCACTGAGCTACAACCCCAGCCCCATGTAGTGTTTCTTTTTCTACTGCTAAGTTATGTTACATCCCCAACATCCCTACTCTTTTTATTTTATTTTACTTTGAGACAGGGTCCCATTAAGTTGAAGAGACTGGCCTTGAACTTGTAATCTTCTTACTTAAACTCCCATATAGCTGGGATTATAGGCGTATACTACCATGCCCAGCATGCACAGTATTTCTCAGTTAAAACTTGAATTCTGAACATTCTGTCTTCACAGTGTTGGATGAGGATTAGGACCAAAAGGAGCCATTGCAGGAAATTTTCTCCTCCACATCATATCAGAGACAGCACACTGGGTTAGGGTTCTGCGCTTTGGGATATCCTGGAAATTCCAGGTACCAACAGTAGAGGTGGCTTCATTCTTTCTGCTGCAGAATGTTCTGTGGTATTCATATCCCTTACTTTTTTGGTTGATCACTAACTGCTGGGAACTTGGTGAACATCTTTTCATCATTGCTGGGGATCAAACTCAGTGCCTTGCACATGCTAGGCAAGTACTCTACCACTGAGTTACATCCCTAGCCCTTGAACATCCTTTTTAAAATTATGATTTTAAAAACACACATGCCAGGCATGGTGGGTGCATGCCTGTAATCACAGAGACTTGGGAGGCGGAGGCAGGAGGATTGTAATTTGAGGTCAGCCTCAACAATTTAGTGAGACCCTATCTTAAAATTAAAAATATAAAGGACTAGAGACTTAGTTCAGTGGCAAAATGCCCCCGGGTTCAACCCCTAGTAAACACACACACACACACAGACACACACACACATGCACCAACAATCACATAAAATTTCATCTCCATTTTTTTAACTGTGCAGCTCAATAGTATTAAGTATATTTATATTGTTGTTAAAAAAAATCAGAAGATTTCATGTTATAAATCTGAAACTCTGTACCCACCAAGCTCTATTTCTTCTTTATCTCCTCTCCACCAACCCTGACAAAACCATTCTACTTCCTTTTTCTTCAAATTTGACTACTCTAGGTACCTCATAAATGGGATCATTTAGTATTTATCCTTTTGTGACTGTTTTATTTTGCTTAGCATAATGACCTCAAGGTCTATCCATGTTGTAGCATAAGACAAAGTTTCCTTTTTTTAAGACTGAATGAATCCCATGGTATGGAAATGCTATATTTTGCTTATCCATTCATCTGTTCATGGATTTGGGGGCTGCTTCCCCCTTTTGGCTATTGTAAATAATATTATCATTAACATGGGTATATAAATATCTCTTTAAGACTCTGTTTTCAGTTCTTTTGGCTGTATCCCCAGAAGTGAGATAGCTGAATTATATGGTAATTCTAATTTTAAGTTTTTGAGGAATCACTATAGCAGTTGTACCATTTTACATTGCCACCAGCTGTGCACAAGGTTTCCAATTTCTCCATATCATTACCAACTCATTATTTTCTCTTTGTTTGTTTTTTAAATAGGGGTCATCCTATTGGGCATGAGGTATGAACATTTTTATTTTAACTTTTTTTTTTAATATTGGTACTTGAATCAGGAGTGTTCTACCCCTGAGCTATGTCCCCAGCCCTTTTTTTTTTTTTAATATATATATTTTTAGTTGTCAATGGACATTTATTTATTTATATGTGGTGCCGAGGATCAAACCCAGTGCCTCATGCATTCCAGACAAGCATGCTACCTGCTGAGCCACAGCCTCAGCCCGTCCCCAGCCCTTTTTAATTTTGAAGAAGGGTGTCAGCTTTTGTGTCACCATGATGAAAATATCTGGCAGGAAGGAAAAGTTTACTTAGGGCCCACGGTTTCAGAGGTCTCAGTCCATAGATGGCCAACTCCATTGCTCTGGGCCTAAGGTGAGGCAACACATCATAAGGAAAGGGCCCAGTGGATGAAAGCTCATAATAAGGTCAGGAAGCAGAAAGAGAATGAGGGGAAGAGCTACAGGAAAGATGCACTCTTCTAGGGAGTGTCCCCAGTGACCCAACTCCTCTAGCCCTGCCCCACCTGACTACAGTTACCACCCTTCAAACTAGAATGAACTGATTAGTGAACAGCTCTCATAATATAATAATTTTACCTCTGAATATTCCTGTGTTAATAAGAGCTTTGATGGGACACTTCACATCCAAACTATAACACAAGAACATGCTAAATTGCCTAGGCTATCCTTGAACTTGTGATCCTCCTGCCTCAGCTTCTAGAGTCACTGGGATTACAGGTATGTGCCACCACACTGCACTCCCATCTTTTTTTTTGTACCAGGGATTGAACTTAGGGGTACTTAATCACTGAGCTACATCCCCAACCCTGTTTTGTATTTTATTTAGAGACAGGGTCTCAATGAGTTGCTTAGTGCCTCACTTTTGCTAAGGCTGGCTTTGAACTTGCGATCTTCCTGCCTTAGCCTCCTGAGCATAGGCATGTACCACCATACCCAACCCAACAATTTTGACACAATTTCTGAGTTATTAAAATGTAGTAAGTATATACTAAAGAAATAAATATCAATTTTTGGTTAAAAAATATATATAAAAGGGAATGGATATGTATGTAATTTTTATTTTGGGATTTTTTTCCTACCTGATTTTTATCTTGAAAGATGTTGATCCTACAGAATGATAGAAAGACAAGTTCAGTGACCATCTGTGCCTTTGGCCTAGATTCATCACTTACTAACATTTTGTAAGATTCACTTCAGAGGAATTGAAGACATTGTGACATTTTATCCCTAAATACTTCAGTGTGTCTCTTTAGGGGAATTCTGATATACCTATTATAAAGTCTAAGAAAATTTATAATCATTACATAATTTCATCTGATATTTGAGTCCATATTCAGATTTTCCTAACTGTCTTTAAAATGTTTTATATTTCCTCCTTCCTCCCTCCATTCAGGGTCCAGTCAAGGTTCATGCAGTGGATCCTTTCTTAAGATGATGAAATCTGTCAGTCTAAGTGCCAGTGTACCTCCTCAGGGGATAGTGATCAGTGTTGACATCATGATCTTGGAGGTGCTGGGCAGAGGAATCAGACAAGGGAAGTGCATGCAATGGCACAGTTCTGAAAAGTGCAGACCACTACAAAGTGCATGGGGAAGTGCTTCAAGAGGCTGACTACACGTGGAGTAAAATGTTTGGGAATCAACTTACCAGGCATGTGCCAGGTCTGTAGGAAGATGACTTGTAAGACCTTAAAAGAGACCACAAGGGTGACTGGACACATAAGAACGTCCACTGTGTTCATTGCAAAGATGCTAGCTCTCTCTTTGTTAACCTAGACGTTTAATGTGTTTCTTCCCAAGAGGGTTTATTGGGAGGAGGTGCACAAGCTAATTATAAAGGTCAAGTGAAAAAAAGCAAGCAGTAGTTAAGAAATTGTTGAAAGCAAAGGTAATGAAAGGAGACCAGCTCTAACCTGGACATATTATGAAGCTGAAGTATTTGAAATGGCTTCTGGTGGGTAAAGAGAGGAAAGATTATAGAAAAAGTCTAGGAATTTTGGAAATGTCACGAGCACACAGGAACTTTGTAGGTGATAAAAAGGCATCATAAATCAGGAAGGGGTAGACAGACATCAGTGTTACCAAGTAGAAAAGCATTAAGTCAGACCTTTGTTTTACACCTTATACCAAAATTAATTCCACATGGATCAACAGTTGTTTTCGTTTTTTCAGTGCTTGAGTTCAAATTCAGGAGCCTTGTACATGCTTGGAAAGTACTCTACCATTGACTTAAATCTTAGCCAGATCAACAGTTTTAAGTGTGAAGTATTAAACAATTTTACAAAAATTAGAGGAAGATATAGGGAAATGTTTTCTAATATAATCAACCCAGAGGGAAAAAGTCCTTCTAAGTTTGACGTAAAACTCAGACACAAGAAAGAAAATGATAAATTTGACTACATTAAAAACAAAACACGTGTGATGGGACACACCTATAATCCCAGCAATTTGGAATGCTGAAGTAGGAGAATTGCAGGATTGAGGCTGACCTTGGCAACTTAGACCCTGTCACAAAAATAAAAAAGCCTGGGGTATAGCTCAGTAGCAAAGTGCCAATGGGTTTAGTCCCCAGTACCACAAAATACAAAGACTGCTGGGCACATTCCTGTTATCTCAGCTACTAGGGAGGCTGAGGTGAGAAGATCACATGTTAGATGCAGCCTGGGCAATTCAGTGAGACCCTATTTCAAAACAAAAATTTTAAAAGGCTATGATAGAGGGCTTGCCTAACAAGTGTGAGGCCCTACGTCAAATCCCCAACACTACCTCCCCGCAAAATACAAATTTATGCATTCAGAAAGCATCATAAAACCAAAAGATAGGGGCTGGGATTGCCTAGCATGCATGAGATTCTGTATTCAACCCCCAGCACTACAAAAACAAAAATGAAAAGGTAGGAACAAAATTCAACTAATAGAAAATTGGCAAAAATTTTTTCTATTCAGAAAAAAATTTAAAAAAAGGTTCTTAGACACATGATGAGAGTTTTCTGTCTCATTCATTGTAAGATTTCTCCCTCTCATTGTAGCAGAGTTAGAGCTTCCTAGGTTGTGGGTGCAGAGGAGGCACTTGGCTCCACTGTAGGGAATGATGTAAGAAGAGCAAAGTGTGATTGTATGTCCCATCAGCTGCTTTTGTGGTAATTAATCCTGGCATATATAGATGCAGAATGCTGTGGGGCCGGGAGACTATCCATTATGCGAAATAGCAAGAAGATTCTAACTAATCTAAATGTAGAACCTTATACACATAGATAAGGATCAGTTTACAAGATGTTTAGTTAAGTAAAAACTAAGGTGCTGAATATGAACTGCCTCAGGAATAGTGAGTGCTACCCTTGGGAGGGGAACCAATTGGAAGCTGGGACATGAGGTACCAGCAGATTTTCAGTAGATTTTAAATCTTGAGCCATGTATGTTACCCAGTTGAAACACAAAAATCTATCTATTTTTGTTTTGAAATAGGGTCTCTACTATCTTCAAGTTGCTGACTGTCACATTTAAATCTTCAGTCCTGGGCTGGGTCTGTAACTCAGTAATAGAACACTTGCTTAACATGCGCAAGGCCCTGAGTTCCATCCCCAGCATAGCAAAACAAAATAAATCAAACAATAACAACAAAAACACTCCAGCCTTGGCTGCCAGCTTTTTACTTCTCAGTACCTAATCACATGTCCTTACTTTGTTATCTCACAGGCATCTCACGTTGACCATGTCAATGACAGGACAATGACTATTCTTCCTAAACTAGTTCCTCCTGAATTTTTACCCATTGGTAAGAGTGTCCCCATCTACCCAGCAGCGTCACCCGGCAAAGTCCCTGAGTCCTCCCTGCATTTCCTGAAATCAGTCTGTCAGTAGATTCTCTCTCCTGTGCCCCAGTAGAGCTCTTCAGAACTCTCAGCTGTGACTGCAGCCACACCAACCTGTCCAGGGCCTAGGTCACCTGTAGGAGCCTCCTGTCTAACTGATCTTCTTACCCCTCCAGCCCTTCTTTAGGCCCTTTGCTTTAGGCTTCCAGACTGTTCGTTTATGCCACACTCTGTAAAATTCCCACACAGCAGTGTCTCATTAAACTCAGATTTTAGTGCACAGTCTACCCTTCCCTAGAGGTAACGAGGCCTGCCGCCCTGCCTGGTCCTGACTCACCTCCTACTTATTTCCCCCTGTCTTGGCTGCCCTAAGCTTTTCCTTGCCCCAGAATCTGAACACCTGTCTCCTTACCTGGGATGCCCTCCACTGCCTGGCATGTACTGCTACCAACCTACTCTTAGGTCTCAGTTCCTTGGAGGAGCCTATCCCTGCTTCATCTCAGTGCTCCAGTGAGTTACACCCAGATCAGATGCCCTGTTGAGTTCCTTCCCAGCATTTCCAAATCCAAAATACCATGCTTCTTTTACTTTTTTCTTTTCTTTCTTTCTTTTTTTTAAACTTTTCTTGTTTGTCCTTTGCTAGCATTAAACTTGTACATAGGAATCTTTCCAATGTACTTCATGATTATCGCTTCTTCTCTGGAAATTGTTATTAGCATTTGGTAGGAGCTTAATAAACATATGTTGAATGCAATGACTCTTATTTTTATTACTTATTTCCCACTAATTAACATATTCTTTCCAAACATACTCTGGAGTAGCTGCTGCTCTGACCTGAGAACTGCACTAGTGAATGAAGCAAAAAACAAGCAGGCATGGGCTTGCCTTCATGAAGTGTATATGGGGCACCTGAAAGCCCATGGAAAGGGAGACAAGTGATTTCTAGAATGGCTGCCCAGACTCTCAGGCTCCTTCCATAGGTTGACTTCCATGTGCATGCTGCTTACTCGGAGCATAGAGTGGTCAGCATTCTACTATGCACACTGCCAGGCAGCCCACTCTCTGTTACCCTATTGTTGGGTACTTGATTCTCCTTTCTAAATGTTCTTTGTGGCTTGGACTGGTATCTGACTATTATAATTATGGTCTTTTCTCTTAACTTTGCAGAGGAATGTTTGCTGGGGGATTGAAAGAGATGGAACAGGAAGAGGTCCTGATCCATGGTGTATCCTACAATGCCATGTGCCAAATCCTGCATTTCATATATACCTCTGAACTAGAGCTCAGCCTGAGCAACGTTCAGGAGACACTGGTCGCTGCCTGCCAGCTTCAGGTAAGGCTCACCTCATCAAGCAAAGCAGATCTGTATCCCCTTGGGGTTTCTCCAGATACCCATGGTGCCCACTGGGTAGTGGCATTGGTATAATGTGGGTCAGAAGGGTCAGGACACCAGGCAGTGAAGAAGCTAAAGCAGAGTGACTTCCAACACCCCTGGGCAACCTTGTTTTATGCCTCTGCCCTTTACTCTTTTGCTGCTCCTTCTCCCTGACTTGGTCTCCCTGCCAGGAAAAAGATCTTGCAGAAAGGCAAGTGGGGTGACCCTGAGGCTTGTGTGTGTAAGGATCTTTGTGCCATGGTGTCAGTGTCCCCAGCCCAGCACGTGCAGGCCTTTTCTGCCTGCTTTCTATGTTCAGCCACTCCCATCTCTTTAAAATTGTTTTCAGATACTTGTTTCCTATAGAAGTATAGAAATTTCTGAAGGTTTGGTGGTGTATCTTAAGTTTCATAAGATTTCATTGACTCAGTAGTGTGGGAGCAATTACACAGGGCTGGACCTTCAGGTGTTAGTCAGAAGCTCAGTCTAGGTTGAGTCACTTCTTCCCACTTTTCTAGAAAGTGAAATGAAATGTTACACTGAGTTTGTCACGCTTGACTTTTTACTCAGTTTAGAGCTTGTTTGGGCCAGTTAGGAAAAACTCAACCTGTCTTGTGGGTATCTGGAGGCCCTACCTGGCACACCAAGGCTGTGGTAGCCTCCCACACCCTGCTTGCTCTCTGGTTGGGTATGAGGTGTTCCATACATACTTGTTAGGCTGATCGAAGCATGATTTGCCTTACAGTACTTGCATGAGGGGTGGGTGGAGTTGAGCCAGTGTGGCCTTTATAGCAGAAGATTTTCCTTGTGTTCTTTCATTGAGAGATCTCTCTTATTCCTACCTCCCTGTCATGGTTGCATGGGAACATTCATCTGGTTCTCCAACCTCCCAGCACTGCCCTTTCCTCCTCAGCTGGCTCAGAAAATCTCCCCACAGTGTGACTGAGATCCTCCTGTCCGTCTCCTTTTCCATGTTGTGCACCCTCCTGAAGTTCCCCTTAGTCTCCTTGATCTGAGTCCTTTGACCACTGTACCAGCACCCTGGGCCCAGAACTTCAGACTCCTTGAGACTTTCCATCTTTTTCATTCACTTTATTCAGGTTTGGATAAGTCCATCCTCTTTAATCATGCTTGTAACTGTCTCTGTTCTGTTTCCATTTCTTTCACATTTGTTCAGGTTTCCGTCTCTCTCTATCCTCCTCCTAGCTGGTTTCTGCCCTCTCCTCCTCCATGCATTGCTCATGCATATGGATACCAAATTATCCTCCCTAACACTACTTTCCTTCTCACCTCTCAGCACAGACACCGCAGTCTCTGTTGGTTTGACCATTGCTCCTGAGAGCCCGAGGCCATCTTGGGGGCAGCAACTGACTTTGTTTTTAGTGTATTTTTTACAAATCAGTGTTGTATAAAGCAAGTTTTTAAATTTTTTTTTTTTGTAGTTGTAGATGGACAGAATGCCTTTATTTTATTTGTTTTTATTTTTATGTGGTGCTAAGGATTGAACCCAGTGCCTCACACATGCTATGCAACCACTCTGCCACTGAGCTACAGCCCCAGCCTGTAAAGTAGTTTTACCTGGCATAACAGCATGGAGTCCATTTGTTACTATAGCAAGTGACTACTGGTAGCTTGCCCCTGTATGCTGTGCTCTGTGCTATTCCAGGATCTGACTTCATAGTGTCCCCAGAGACCTGGGTCTGAATTCCAACAAAACTCTTCTATTTATTTATTTATTTTATTTTATTTTTTTGTACCAGGGATTGAACTAAGGGGCACTTGACCACTGAGCCACATCCCAGCCCTATTTTGTATTTTATTTAGAGACAGGGTCTCACTGAGTTGCTTGGCACCTTGCCATTGATGAGACTTGCTTTGAACTTTTGATCCTCCTGTCTCAGCCTCCTGAGCCACTGGGATTACAGTCATGCACTACCATGCTTGGCTCAACAAAACTGTTCTTTCTGGGTCACCCCATGCAAATGCTTCCCTTCTCTGTGCCTTTTGTGGGCCTCTGCATGGGTGTGCCTCGGCTGTATCCCCCATGAAATTCCATCTATCACAGGGCTCTGAAAACAGCATAGGAAGGATAGGATGGGAAGCAGAGAGGTTCAGGTGTAGGAGAGCGGGTTCTTTCCAGGGAATTGCTTCTCAAGCTCATCTAGAGCTGGCTCTCACATTCTCCTCAAAACCTGGTCTTCAGGACCCAGGCCTATGACAGAAGTAGTAGTTTAGAAGAAAGATGCAAAGCAGAAGTGCCTGCTAAGGTATAAAACAAGTGGTCAAATGAAGACTTTCAGAACCTAACACAGCACCATGGGGATATCTCATGTGGAGCACATACCTCCCTAACAGTTTGCAGGTGTCTATTTAGCCCTTAGCATATCACCTGGTAAGCAAGCCTGAGCTTTCTTTTGAATTTTAAAAAAGAGTTAAATGTTTATTAATAAGCTTCAAATACCAGTAAAATTCCACTATGTGCAATAGTTAATTTATTGATCAGGTACAGTCCTCCCTCTGTATCCTTGGGGAATTTGTTCTAGGATCCCCTGCAGATACCAAATTCTAAGGATGTTCAAGTCCCTTATAAAATGGTATGATATTTGTATATAACCTATGCACATCCTCCTGTCATAAATTATCTTTAGATTACTGAAGTATCTAATCCAATGTAAATGGTATGTAAATAGGGTGTTATGCTGTATTCTTTAGGGAATAATAACAAGAAAAAGTCTGTATGTGTTCAGTACAGATGCAATTTGTTTTTTCAAATTTTTTGGGAGCGGAGTACCAGGCATTGAACTCAGGGGCACTCTCAACCACTGAGCCACACCCCCAGTCCTATGTTATATTTTATTTAGAGACAAGGTCTCACTGAGTTTTTTTGCCCCTCGCTGTTGTTGAGGCTGGCTTTGAACTCACATTCCTCCTGTCTCAGCTTCCCAAGCCACTAGATTTACAGGTGTGCACACTGTACCTGCCTTGAATTTTTTTTTTTAAGAGAGAGAGAGAGAGAGAATTTTAATATTTATTTTTTAGTTTTCGGTGGACACAACATCTTTGTTTGTATATGGTGCTGAGGATCGAACCTGGGCCGCACGCATGCCAGGCGTGCGCGCTACCGCTTGAGCCACATCCCCAGCCCTTGAATATTTTTTTTTTACCTATAGTTGGTTTCTTCACAAGTAGAACCTGCAAATAGAGAAGTCTAGCTATACTCCCATTTTTATTTTTATTTATTTATTGGTACTAGGAATTGAACCCAAGAGCTGAAGTCTTTACCAGTAAACTTACTTTTCATTTATCTATTTATTTATTTTTAAAAAATATTTTTTTCCTTTGTAGTGGACACAATACCTTTATTTTATTGGTATTGATATTTTTTATGTGGTGCTGAGGATTGAACCCAGTGTCTAACACATGCAAGGAAAGCAAGCACTCTATCACTGAGTTACAACCCCAGACCTATTTTTTTATTTTGAGACAGGGTCTTGCTAAGTTGTTGAAGATCTTGTTAAATTGCTAAGGCTGGCCTCATATTTATGATCCTCCTGCCTCAGCCTTCTGTGTCACTGGGATTATAGGCATGCACCACCATTTCTGACTATATTTCCATTTTTAAAGAAACTCTAAAATCCCATTTCCTAAAGAATTTATCAGCACCTGGTTTGTCATCCCAGGTATTTTTCACTAGAGCACATCCTTATGTCTTGTCTTCTGCCATGCTTTGCCTATCAGAGCCCAGGGTATCCTTGAACAGCATTGGCAGAGAGCAGGTCAGGTTATAGATCAGTTCTTGGCTCCTTCTCATCCAATTGCCATTCTCTCAGTTGTTTTCCTTCCCATCCATCAGTGCTTCTATGCAGTTGAGAATAGGTCATTCAGACACTTGGGGACTCTGCTCTCACTGGAGTCAAATAGGTCTCTTGACTCAGGCAGGAGTCTCAGGATGGCTTGCCAGATTTTCAAGAAAGCCAAGTCATGGTCTTGAGGTGAATGCTGGGCAGGTATCTGGAGATGCTCTGCTGGAAGTTTTGATTGTGTGTGACATTGGGCCTGGGCCTAGGCCTCATGGGCTCTGGTGGGATCTCTGGGCCTGCAGCTTTGACTGAGCTGCCTATAGTGAGAGTCTAGCAGGAGAAAAGAACTGGATATATGTTTTCAGTCCCTGTACTTTGGAGAGGCAGACTCTTATAAAAAGCCCTAGGTGGGGTCAGGGAGTAGTCCAGGGCACCTTCCCAATCAGGGATGCCTGACACAGTGACAGTTTATGTTGCTTCATTCTTCTCTGGAGAGCCTGTACTTTTGATGTAAAAAGATAGTTGGCATATATGAAGGATCCCCTCTGTGCCAGCTAGTTCCTGTGCATTTGTCAACATATTCCTCTCAACTTTAACTATTCCTGTTTTATAAATAAGGAAACTGAGGCTTGGGGATTAAGAATATGCCACATTTGGCCCATTTGGTATGTTTTCCAGTCAGTCTGTTGTAATCCCCAAATATCTCTAGTGTGTCTGGAAAGGTTAGGGACAGTTGAGAGGGGCTGTGTAAGCTTTATTTCTGCCATCACTCTATCCCACTCCTCAATGCTGTTGGCCAACCCAGGCTTAAGTGGGTGTCCTTCTCTTTGCAGATCCCAGAAATTATCCATTTCTGCTGTGATTTCCTCATGTCCTGGGTGGATGAGGAGAACATCCTTGATGTCTACCAGCTGGCAGAGCTTTTTGACTTGAGCCGCCTGACGGAGCAGCTGGACACCTACATCCTCAAAAACTTTGTAGCCTTCTCGCGGACTGACAAGTATCGCCAGCTTCCCTTGGAGAAGGTCTACTCCCTCCTCAGCAGCAATCGCCTGGAGGTATCCTGTGAGACTGAGGTGTATGAGGGGGCCCTGCTCTACCATTACACCTTGGAGCAGGTGCAGGCTGACCAGATCTCCCTGCATGAACCTCCCAAGCTCCTTGAAACAGTGCGGTTTCCTCTGATGGAAGCCGAGGTCCTTCAGCGGCTACATGACAAGCTGGACCCCAGCCCACTGAGGGACACAGTGGCCAGTGCCCTTATGTATCATCGGAATGAGAGCCTGCAGCCCAGCCTGCAGAGCCCCCAGACGGAGCTTCGTTCAGACTTCCAGTGTGTTGTAGGGTTTGGGGGCATTCACTCCACACCATCCACAGTCCTCAGTGACCAGGCCAAGTACCTGAACCCCCTGCTAGGAGAATGGAAACACTTCACTGCATCTCTGGCCCCCCGCATGTCCAACCAGGGCATTGCAGTTCTCAACAACTTCGTGTATTTGATTGGAGGGGACAACAATGTCCAAGGATTCCGAGCTGAGTCCCGATGCTGGAGGTAGGAAAGGCCACTTGTTGGTACCTTTATGTTCAGGTAACACTGAAGTGCAGGAGTCATGTATTAAGAAGCCTGATCAGCAGACATGTGAAGGGCATGTCACCACAGACTTAGTTCTTCAGTTTGCTTTTTACATGAAGGTTGCAGCTTGTCAGAGATATACTTGTTTTGTAGAATAAAATCCAGGTGAATTCAGAGAATGTGGACTATAGCAATACAAGGAAAAGGGGCACCAGGATTGCTTTCTTTTCTTTTTCCCCTCCTCCCCTGCTTCTCAGAAACCTCCTTACCTTGGATCTCAGCTTTGCCATGGAGGAGCCTGACTGGCTCAACCTAAGGAGTGGGAAGCCATGGCAGGAAGAAGCTGAAGAATTCTGGACAGGGTAGCTGCTTCTTTCATCTTGTTCTCTCTTAAGCTTTGCTGTTTTTTTATTTCAGCTTCCTTGCTGGTCTTCTCTGCTCTTACTTCTCTTTTAACTGTCCCACATGGTAGAGGATGACTTCCTGCTGCCATGCCCACCTGAGAATATGCTCAGCCTGAGGATCAGGAAGGGCCAACAAACAATATTGAGCCTTCTGCTAAATTCTCTTTGTCCCAGTATACATCTGAGTGCTAGGTACAAGGTCCTCCTGGGAGGAGGCAATTTTCTTAGGAGGTTTTGTGGGTTGCTATGTTCTATAGGATGCTTCTAGCTCTATCAGTCAGAAGGCTGTGATCTCAGAGATCCATTTCTTTGCACAGAGCAAGAGATAATAGGTCAGGATACCATAATGTCAGCTACCAGTGGGTTTCCAGGGGACCCTCTACCATACTTTGGTGCATGTGGAGTCACCCCACCCTGCTGGCTGAGAGTGCTGCAGAGTGCTAACTGCTTTTGGCAGCCCTTAGCTAGGCACTGACACAGTTTTATGTTCATGTTCTGTTTTCTGCGGTAAGGGTGGGGATGGGGTCTGGCTTGGCTGTGCCACTTGGATACAAGCGTAGTGATCCTAAGAAAGAGACAGCCATTCCTCATCCACTTCTGCTTTCAAAGCCCCAGGAAGCAATCGGTCACCTTTGTTATACCAATGTGACCTAAAACTTGCCAGTAATATGTTGTGATTAAATATGAGGAATGACAGAGTTCAGAAAGAAGGAAATAACTACCTTTATTTTCTCTCTAACCAAATGCTATCTGTCCCTAATGGGTGTGACTGCCCCAGGTTCAGGCTTCCCTCTGGCCAAGCCTCAAAACTTCCTTCAGTTTTGCAGCTGTGGGACCAAGGCCAAGCCTCCTTGCCTAAAGCAACCCACAAATCTGTAAAGCAAATCTCTGTAGATAGAAGTTGTAGACAACTCTGCGTCCATTCCCTGGGGGTGACAGCTAGGTAGTCTGCCTGACCCTGTACCCTGTCCTCCTGTAATGGGGCCGTTGATCTCAGTTTTGCTCAAGACAATAGTCCAGATTCACTTCTGGTGGACATGTGCTATAAAACCAAAGCCCAACTCTGGCTGAAGCTAATATTAACCCCTGTAATCAATAACCACAGTCTCAAACTCCAGACTGGGAACTGGATCACAATGGTAGGTAGAGTTGGTGAGACATGCCTTGAAAAGAGTAGGCACTCACAGGGTTGAGGTGATAGGGAGGGCCATGGCATGCTGACCTGCCTACCAGCTAACTTGTTTTTCTATCGTTTCTACAAAATGAGAAACTTCCTTCATCTCCCAGTGGTCTCCAAACTACCAAATGCATCTTTTGTGTGTATGTGTGTATTCCTGGACATTGAACCTGGGGCCTCATGTATGCTGAACATTCTACCACTTTAGCCCTGAATTTCTTTTTTAATTTTATTTTTCCTGATTTATGGTTTTAATTACAGGAATGTAAAGATCATTAAACATTATAAAGTATTTGAATGTGATTCATGACACATACATATTGTGCATATATATGGAGAAAAACTGTAGAGCTGACAAATGCCAATCAGTTGTTAAGTTCAACAGGCACATGTGATAAAACCTCCTCTCAGGTCAGAAAAATATATTTTCTTAACTTAATAAAGAATATCTAGTAAGAAAAATAGGGAAACATCTTATTCTGGAAACAATTTCTCTAAAATAGAAATTAGAAATAAGACAGGGAAGATATATCCATCATAATGTTGTTAATAGTCAGCATGGTATTTGAAGCTGTAAACAATAAGACAAAAAGAAAGAAATATGGGGTAAGTGGATTAGAAAGAGAAAACTACCCTGCAAAATCCTAGAATATCAAGTAAAAATTTATGAAAACATTAATAAAATAGCTAGTTAGAAGATCAATATAAGAACATCAATAGCTTTAATAATAGAGATGAAAAAATTTTAAAAAATAACAAAAAAGGATCCCATACAAAGCAGGGAAATTATAAAATATCTAAGAATAACTATAAAATGTGTAAGATTTATATGGATAACCTATACTACTTTACTTAAGAGCATATAGGACCTACATAAACAGAGTTATACCAAGTCCTCTGCAAATTATTATACTAAATGTAATGAAACACAAAATATAAACAGATTTTTTTCTAGGACAAGATAATATAATTTCAAAACGAATTGGGAAAGGTGTACATGCAAGAATAGTCAAGGTTGGTTTTCTTTTCTTTTTTGGCAGTTTTTATAGTTTATTTAAGCATACATAAAAATGTGCACATGAGCCACCTGTTCATTTTCTTTCCTACTCAGTCTGGTATTGGAATTGGTCAATCTGATGGCCTGCTGGGCTGTTCCATGCTGACTTTAAGGTTCTTGAAGGAAACATGGTGAGCAGTCATAGTACAGGAAGGTTTGTTGCACATTAATAGCACTTCCAGCTCCTTGATAATGTGGATCAGGAACTTCTGGAGGCCTCTGGGCAACACATGCTTTGTTTTCCTGCTGCTCTCATACCAATGTTTGTCATAAGGATCTAGCCCTTAATCTTCTCTGTACCCTTTTGTCAGTATCTCTGGGTTTCTACCAGTTGTGCTTACTTTTGGCATATTGGTCTGACCAGGTGCCAGATGAACTTCTTGGTCCTCTTTTTGACAATTTTGGGTTTCACCAGAGGTCTGAGGGGAGCCATGATGCCAAATAGGAGATGGCTGCTACCTTTGTAGACAGCATGGAGCAACAGACCCCACAGCATTCTTTAAAAAACCAGACCAGACTGGGGTTGTAGCTCAGTGGTAGAGTGCTTGCCTGGCACATGTGAGGCACTGGGTTTGATCTTCAGCACCACATAAAAGTAAATAAATAAAATAAAGGTATTTTTAAAAACAGGGCTGGAGGTATAGTTCAGTGGTAGAGCACTTGCTAGCATACCCAAGGCCAGTTTCAGAAGTCTCAGTTCATAGATGGTTGACTCCTTTGCATTGGGTCCAAGATGAAGCAGAACATCATGACAGAAGGGCATGGAGGAGGAAAGTGGTTTAGGACATGGCAAACAGGAAGTAGAGAGCAACCCTGATTTTCTTAATTTGAATGTTCTAAGAGATTGGCTCTTTCTCCATTTTCCCCCTTCATAGTTCACAAGCCTTAGAATATAAAAAAGAAATATTTTGCGGTAGGTTAGAATTTGCATTCTAAGGAGTTAGTGCTTGCCAGGTTATAGCCTTAAGCTCCGATACAAACAGGGCATGGTGGTTCAGGCAGGAGGATGGCAAGTTTGAGGCCAGCCTGGGCAACTTTACCCTGTCTCAAAATTTTAAAAATAATAAAAAGGGCTGGTATATAGCTCAATGGTAGAGTTCCCTGGGTTCATTCCCCGGCATGGATACATAAACTGCATGTGAAAATTTACCTTTCTTAAAGCAAATTGTATTTGCCTCCATGATGATACATTTTCTCTTCTTTCTTTGATTGCATCTATATTTATTTGATTGCATCACCTTACCATAATGAAATACCTGAGGCAACTAATTTATAAAGAGAAAAGGTTTATTTATTTCATAGTTTGGGAGGTTCAAGTTCTAAGATCAAGTCGTGTGTGTGTGGGTACCCATTGATTTGGCCTCTGTGAGGGCAGATGGTAATAGTGGGAGCATGTATGCTGGACCAAGTAGTCACACCTCGAACTAGGATGCAGAAAGAGAGGAAGAGACCACTGTCCCACAGTCTTCTTAGTGACCTGAGGACCTCCCATTAGGCCTAGCATCTTAAAGGTCTATAGCACTCCCAGTATTGCCACCTTGAGGACCAACTCTTCATATGTGAACCTCAGACAGTCATCCAAACCACAGCAATTGCCCATGTTGTTCTTATACTTTTCCTTCTGGGTACCAGTACCCCTACTACTTAACACTTAGTAGTAGCCTTTCCCATGTTGTCATGTGCCCTGACTTTACCTAAAATAATAATTTAGGTTTTTTTTTTTTTCTCCTTTTGCATTGCCATGGCTGTTAATATTTTAAAGTATATTTAAATTTAGAATTTTTTTGATAGATTTTAAAACATTAATAGTCAGGGAAATGCTTAAGTCATAGAAATACAGAGGAAAAACAACCTACTAAATTTAACAAGGACCCTCCCTTGTTAAATTTTTGTACCAGCTCTAGATTTCACCTCTGAGTTTGCAATAGTTTTGCATTCCAAAAAATCTGGATTAGAGTTACTTAGTCAATAAAGGGTGCTATAACCAATACCACAGACTGAATATCTTAAACACAAACATATATTTCTCACAATTGGATCCTAGGAAATACAAGATTATGATGCTGGTTGGTCCTGGTGAGGGCTCTGATTTGCTATGTCTTCACATGGTAGAGAGAGCCAGCACTATCCTCTCCCTTTTATAAGGGTACTAATAGCATCATGGAATCCCTATTGTTGTGACCTTATTACTTCCCTGTCTCCAAGTACCATCACATAAGGTATTAGGGCTTAAACATAAGAATTTGGGAGGACCCAAACATAATCCATAGCAGTGACTAAAACTACATCTTTTTATGCAATAGTAAAGATTTTTTTATTAGGAAAAATATTTGAGGATCTGTTCTGACAAAGTGAAAAATTAATCCAATAAAGAGGAGCTATACAGCTCAGTGATAGTCCCTTTCCTAACATGGGTGAGACCCTGGGCTCAATCCTTAGCACTTAAAAGACAGGACACAAAAAAGAAAAAAAAAATCCACAAAAGTTTGGTTATGTCTAAATTTTTGACCTATTGTGTCAGTGTGATTGAGTGTGTGTGAGTGTACACATACACATTTTCTTAAATCTGAAGTCATAAAATCCAAATGAACTTAGTCTAAGAAACTGAGAAGATAGGAGAGCAGAAGGAAGCAAATAGAGGTATCCAGAGGGTCTTGTCTCTGGTGGGAGAAGCAGATGCTGATGTGGCCTGTTCCAAAATAAGAGCAGGAGAGGCATGTGCTTAAGGGAGCACAATGTACAGGAACAGCCCTATCTAGTCAATTAACAGGACCTCCATGAGCCTGAACTGCCAGGCCCAGCCAGACCTTTCCCTGGCTTGTACCTCTGTCATTCAGATCTCAGACAATGCCTTCTCAGGGAGCCTTTCCTAGTCACTGGAAGAGATCTGTACCCTCCCTCACCCTCCCTGATTGATAACCCACTCTCTCCACCTAGCTTACTCCCCCGCCCCAAGGGATCTGGCATTATATTGAGCACTGGTTTGCTCTGTTTAACCTATTTCCCCTTTTGCAGTAGAAGGCAGGCCCTGGCCTCTCTGAATTCCCCATGCCAGGAGCTGTAGCAAGTGAGTATTTGTAGAACGAATGAATGATTTCCTTAATGGTAGTACCCTTTCATTTTCTAGTCAACAGACAGTGCATGTTTACCCCAAGCCAAATGCTGTTCAGAGATCTAGGAGTTAAAAAATGAAGTCCAGTCCTTTATACGCTCCTCACAAGTTAACAAAGACTTGTACTTTATGATCCCTTATGATAGCTTTCTAGGCAGGTGATATCACTCCTTTGGGTAGGTATGAAAACTGAGTGAATGCCAAGAGATTAAAAGTGATGCCTTAGGCCAGACACAGTGGTGTGCTTGGGAGGTGTGACTTAGGAGGCTTAGTCAGAAGAATCACAAGTTTGAGGACAGCCTCAGCAACTTAGTGAGGCCCTAAGCAACTTAATGAGACCCTGTCTGAAAAATAAAAAGGGAAGGGAATGTGGCCTGGGACTGTGGCTCAGTGGTAGCGCTTGCCTAGCGTGTGTGAGGCACTTGGTTCAATTCTCAGCACCACATATAAATAATTTTTTTTAAGTCCATCAACAACTAAAAACAAATTAGAACAAGGGGAGAATAGGAATGTGGCTCAGTGGTAAAGCACCTCTGGGTTCAATCTCCAGTCCAAAAAAAAAAAAAGCATTGGTATACCCAGCTAGACAGGGACAGGTTGGTACGATCCAGATGTATTTCTTCTCTCCTGGTTGCCCCACCTCCTGAGGTACCTCTTTCCTATATTCCTGTTTAGAGGGGAAGAGCTGGCCAGGGGACAGGTCCTGGAAGAGTAGCTATAGAGTACATCTAACTTGTGGTTTTTGTTTTTTGAATTTAAGGCCTTACACGTGCTAGGCAAAGTGCACTATCACTGCACCACATCCCTGGCCCCTAACTTTTGGTTTTGGCAATGAATGAAACTGAGTTCTTCACTAGCCAGCATAAGATAAAGGCCAAATAAAACTTAGTTTATTATTTTCAAAGTCAGTTGAAGTAAGACTTGTTCTCCTTGGAATTGGTCTTCCTCTGGAGAAATAAAACACTTATTTGAAAGAGGCCATAACTCCCTGGGTACTTGGGCAAGGAGGCTTCAGAAACAGAGCTGGGTAGATGCTAGTGCCAGCTGATAGATGCTGTGGTTGCCTCTGGGGAAAGGGCCAGCCATGGGTCAGGAATAGAGTTGGGGGGCTTAAGGCTCACAAGTCCTGGCCCTTGGTGGCTCAGGTTTCATCTTTTTCTCACCCAGCACTACACCTATCTGTGTGTTCCATATAGGCACAGCAGAGTGGCAGGACTGGTTGTGGAGAGAAAGGGTAGAGACTTTCAGGAATTGGGGCAACCCCAGAGCAGCGGGTGCTGGAAAGGTAGACTGTGTACAATGAAGGGCCTTGGTGCTAAGCTTGCGCGTTTGGCTTTGGAGGTGTGAGCAGGCACTTTGGTGGTGTGGACAGGAGCATGGACAGGGGAGCAGCCAGGTGGAGATGACTGAGAGGTGTTTGCAGAATGGGTCCAAAGTGTAAGAGAAAGCAGTGGATAACAGTTGGCAGTCCTGGGTGACTGAAATTACCCCAGTGAAGAGTCAGAAACCCCAGACAGGCAGAAGGGGAATCACAGCAAAGGAGAGGAGAGGAAACCTGAGAGGATAGTGGGGGTGGGCAATATGGAAGTGATTGATCCCATGTAGGGGAGGAGAACAATGCTTACTGTTTGGGAATTAGACATTTTTATGACAGTTGGTAGGGAAAGAGAAAGGAAGGGTTGTGCCTTGGGTACAGCTATACTACCTGTGAATGGGACATGAGCTAGACCCCGTATCAGGAGAGGGAACTACAGTGACAATGCTGGAATCGTGCTAGGCTCAGCAGGAGGTTAGCATCCCTTCCTCCTTATACTGAACCCCCTGCCTTCTCCATACACCTCGAACTTGGAATGCTTAACATTGCAGATCACACTCCCAGGTATTCTCAGGACAAAAAACTTCCTAGGACCAGACTTCTCCAGCCTTATGGGCTTCTTGCAGCCAGCCCTGTGTCTGTCTTCTTGGGTGGGTTCCCAGAAACCCACAGGACCTTTCCCATTGACCATAGTTCATGGCAGAAGTTAGTGCCCCCACTAGAAATCTCCAGCTGGGGATGTCAGGAAAGCCATGAGTTCAGGGAACAAGATAAATATTTCAGATGCATGAAAAGTGGCAGACAGGAGCCTGGCACATGCTAGATATTGCAAGGCTGAGGGTATGATGGAGACTGTGTGCAGGGTATACTTGAGCATCTAGTTGAGAGGCTGTAACTGGGAGCCTTACTAAATGGGGACAGGTGAGATGGAGGTGGCTGTGGGAATAGCTGTTGGATGGCCTGGGGTGGATAGTTGAGTGGGCTAGAAACCACCCCAGAGGTTACAGCTAGAAGGGACCACCGTGATAGGCAGGAATGCCAGAGGCTCCTGGTCATACCTTCCAGGCCATGTATGTGGGTGCACATGTGTGCAGGTGTGTAGCAACCTGTTTACATGACTGTGGGTCAGCATTTCTTAGCAACTGGGGGCTGCCAGGGTGGAGGGACCATCAGGACATCCTGTGGCAAAGGGGAAGAGGCGGGAATAGGAAGTGTAGGCCCTAAGGGCACTGATCAGTGATATATTTTTCTCATGTCCCCTCAAAGGTATGACCCACGACACAACCGCTGGTTCCAGATCCAGTCCTTGCAGCAGGAGCATGCAGACCTGTGTGTGTGTGTTGTGGGAAGGTACATCTATGCTGTGGCAGGCCGAGACTACCACAATGACTTGAATGCTGTGGAGCGCTATGACCCTGCTACCAACTCTTGGACATATGTAGCCCCACTCAAGAGGGAGGTAAGGAAGCCCTCCAAGAAAGGCATTCTGTCCAGTTCTCTTCCCCAGGATGTAGAGTGAGAGGCCCAGGTGTCAAGGCCAGTCAGTGCTAGTACCAGGTCAGGGAACCAGAACCAGTGAGCAGAGCCCACAGTGACTCCAAGATCCTTCACTGAGTTGATTGATGAGGACCCCTGAGGTTCAGCCAAGCCACCTGGAGAGAGGGCACAGTGAGAGAGTTCAGATACTATTCATCAGACCAGTTCCCCCTCCAAATTTTCAGATGCTGAGACTTTACCACACTACTGGCCAAGTAAACTGCTTTTACTCTGTAGTTTAATATAGATAGAAACCTCACCCTTATCTGTTGCCAAGCCCACCTGAAATGAGCTGGAATGTTTCTAAAAATGTCAAACAAGAAGAACCCTGAGAGAGAGGAGGGCTCTCAGCAGCCTGGTTCACAGGCTTGTGTTCAGACTTCTTCACCACAGGTTCCCTGGAAGACAGGACAGGGCTTTCCAGAAGCCATCACCACCCCACCCCCGCCCCAGAAAAAAAGCCTTTGAGGTTTCATTCTTTGATTTAAAATAATAATAATGTGCATTCTATACAATAATACCTGGATTTATTTCAATTTGAGGATGTTTAAAATTATGTTCATTATGCAGAGGTACCTATCTCTCTTTTATCCTACCGCTTTATCCCCTGGCCCAAAAACCAGCTATAGGATTCCAGAGGAAGGAAGAGGCTTTGCTGTTCCCTGCTTCCCAGGTTGCAGCCTTGGAGAACAAGGTATATGTCCTGCTAGTGCCAGCATTGTTGTTTACCCAGCACCTGCCATTGGCTGGGTACACCTCTTGGGACACTGGAGCACCACAGTAGGCTCACATAGTCTCTGCCCCAGGTTTGGTCAGCACTGACTTGGGGACCTTGGCAGGAGTTATGACCTTTGGAAGCCTCTTTCCACCACCCAACATTTTTCTCTCCCACTGCCAAGCCCCCTTGAGACTGAGACTTTGACCTCAGTAGGGTTTCACTGATGGGTCCAGATCCTCTGTGACTGTATCAGAGTCACTAGCACAACCCACGTGGATTCCTATCATCCTTCCTCACAGGCAGCTGTGCTCTTCCCATTGTGGTCTTCTCCCTACTCCTTAGCTTCTTTGGGGAAAGAAAGTCTTTTGGAGGGACCCTCCCTTACCTAACCCTGGAGAAAGGAGCAGATTTTGCATGGAAAAGATCAAGGAGTCACCAGGTACCACCCTGGTGTCAGATGCCTGTAAACCCAGCTGCTTGGGAGCCTGAGGTAGGAGGATCGCAAGTTCAAAGCCAGCCTCAGCAATTTACCAAGGCCCTAAACAACTTAGACCCTGTCTCTAAGTAAAATATAAACAAGGGCTGGGGTTGTGGCTCCATGGTTAAGAACCCCTTGGTTCAATCTCCAGTACCAAAAAAAAGAGAAGATGTCCTTGAAACCTGATGGATGAGGAAGGCTTCCAGATTCCATTCCCAGTCTTGGAAGGCCAGTGGGGGAGGGGCTTGGGCAGTTTTGGAGCAGTGGGATTCGGTCGGGGAGGGAGCTGCAGTTCTCCAGTTGGCCACAGAGGGGCTACCTTGGCCTTTAGCTAGCTACTTCCTGGAGACCAGTTCACCTTCATGCTGTGCTCATCATCCCTTCTGCAACTACTAACCACCTACCATATACCAAATGCTGGGGATCCAATGGTTGTAAGAAATAACAAACTTTATCTCCTAAGGGATGTATAGCCTTGCAAGAGAGACCATTATTAACTACCCAGCCAGTAATGTAGTTAAGCCAAAAAGTGGTATGAAGGAAATGAAGACAGAATTAAACTGAACATTTCTTGATGCGGGCAGGACTCTTGCAGGACAATGAAGATGGATTGTTTGGGGCCATCTGAGGCCTAAAGGAAAACAGGCATCTGTTTTCATGGGAGGACTAACCTTCCAGGGCAGAAGTGACTTCACAGTCTGCCTTGAGAAGGAGGAGGCTTGGGAAGCACTTGTGAATTCAAAAAGGCCTGGATGAATACAAAAAAGCAAGGAAAATAGTGCAAGTCCTTTACTAGGGCCTGTGCTGGGCTGGGACTGTTGAGGTGGAAGGAAATATGTGGGCTAAGTTGTGGTTTGGAGGTAACTCACAATGGTTCAGAGACTTAAGTAATGTAAAACTATAAAATTTTTAGAAAAAAAAAAAAAGAAGAAGGAATCTTCAGGATCTAGGGTTGGTGAGTTTTTAGACTTGACCTCAAATGCAAGAACCATAAAGAGAAAAACTGATATTAGACCTCTTAAAAACTTTTGCTTGAGAAAGACTCTCTTAAGTGAATGAAAAGAAACTATAGAGTGAGAAAAAAATCTGTGTAAACCACATATCTGAGAAAGGACTAGTATTGAATATATAAAGAACTCTAAAAATACACACACACACACACACACACATAATCTTATTAAGAAGGTACAAAAGACATGAAGAGACTTCATGGAAGAAGCTATAAAGATAGTAGATAAACACATGAGAAAGTGTATAAATTAAAACCACAGTTAGAGAATGACTTATCATAATGATGGAAATAAAAAGAAGTGACAGGGTTAGGAGTGTAGCTCAGTGGTAGAGTTCTTACCTAGCATGTGTGAAGCCCTAAATTTTATCTGCAGTGCTGCAAAAAAAAAAAAAAACAGATGTAGACGGTATACCCTCTGGGAAGAATGTGGCAGCTTCTTCCAACTATCATTGCAATTCAGCATTGCCATCCTGGAGATTTTTCCCAGAGAAATAAAAACTTCTCTGTACATAAATATTAATAGCAGCTTTATTGGTAATAGCTAGGAACTACAAAACAAAGAGAAGTTCACATAAACTATTCTGAAATAAACCTTATTGGCTATAGTAGGATCTCATTGTAAATAGATAAATGTCCTTCAACAGGTGAATGGTTAAATAAGCTGTTGTAGACAACATAGCAATAAAAGGAACCAACTATGGGTAAACACAACAACCTGGGAGAACCTGGATAGGCATAGAAAACCAATCTGAAGCTAGGTTCTTTAGTGCACTCTGGTAATACCAGTGATTCCAAAGAGTGTGACAAGGAGACCACAAGTTTGGGGCCAGCTTCAGAAACTTAGCAGAGTCCCTGTCTCAAAATTAAAAGGACTGGAATGTACCTTAGTGGCAGAGCACTCCTGGGTTCAATTCCCAGTACCAGGCCAAAAATATACAATACACACAGGAAAAAGCTAGTCTAAAAGGTTATATATTGGTTTCATTTTTCTAACTGTGTGTGTGACACACTATACTGATATCAAATCCAGGGGTGCTTTACCACTGAACTACATTTCCAGCCCCTTTTAAAAATATTTATTTATTTATTTATTTTTGGTAGTTGTATATAGACAGAATGCCTTTGTTTTTTTTCTTTGGTTTTATGTGGTGCTAAGGATCAAACCTAGTGCCTCACATCTGCTAGGTAAGCACTCTGCCACTGAGCTACATTCCCAGCCCTGCCTCCCTTTTTTTATTTTGAGATAGGGTCTTGCTAAATTGTCCTTGCCCAAGCTGTCCTCAAACTTGTGATTCTCCTCCCTTAGCCTCCCAAGTTGCTGGGATTATAGATTTTGCCACTGCACCTAGTTTACTTAGCAAGACTATAGAAGTGAAGAAGAGATTGGTGGTTGCCAGGGGTGAAGTGTAGAAGTTTAGGGTGTCAGGAAAGTGCATGTGATTGTTGTCAACTTAAATTGAATAACAAAGAGACCACATCTCCAGAACAAAGCATTTATTCGGGAATAGTAAGGGATTGCAGTCCAGAATATGCAAGCTATTGGCAGACCATAAGTCCATCTACAACAGGTAGGGCAAGGAAAAGCCTTTAAAAACAAAAAGAGTTCAACAAAAACTGTTTTGAAATAAACCTCGTTGACTATAGTAGGAGCTCATTTCAAGAATTGGCAATTACTAATCATTAATGTTGGGCTGTTGCTAGAGAATGTCCTTATAAAAGTAATTTACCTGGAAGTTGTTTTTGTTATAGAGATACTTTTTAATGGTTCTTAACATAGTCATATGTGCATGAGGGAACCTGCCTTCCTGGCCCTTCCAGCTCCATTTTGACATAAGTGACTCCATTTACACATAAAAGGGCAACTGGGAAATCCTGGTGGTAATAGAAATGTTCTGGGACTGCATCACTGTCAGTATCCCAATCGAGGAATTGCAATATAGATACACAAACTCTCACCATTGAAGGAAAGTGTGGAGGGGTCTCTATTTCTTCCAACTACGTGTACATATGCATCTACACTTATCTTAAAATTAAATGTTTTGTTAAAAAATAAACTTCCACATTGATGATAGAAGACCAAAACCCTTGGTATGTTTTCTGCCCACTATTCTATCCACCTCTCTGTCTCTTTGCTCCAGTCATATGGCCTAAGTTAGTGACTATTGGTCTTGACTCTCCTGGAGCTCTACCCACTGTGGGTAGAGTGCTTGCTATGTGTTGGCCTTCTGGGTGTAAATGAGTGAGTCCTGGAGGCAGTAGGGCCAGTGTGAGGCATGTGAGGGTGGAAGTATTTTCAATCCATGGTTGGTTAAATCCATATATATAGAACCTATAGATATGGAAGGCCAACTATATTTGATTTTTTTGTTTGTTTGTTTGACCTTTTCCTCCTCATGCCAAGTTTCATGTTGGTAGGTACGATCTCCAGACAGATTTGGAAAGCTGGGTCAGCAGGCCTGGAAGGTTGCTTGGCTGGTGAGAGTGGGTACAATGGAGGCCACTGAGAATGGGTGATCGTTTCCCTGTGCTGTGGCCTTCTCCCTGACTGGCTGTAAAAAATACCTTGATTTTCTTGGAGTCCCCCCCACATATGTTTACTTTAGGGACACAGGAAAGACAAAGGTCACATTTGATCTCTGGGTCTGTACATGAGTCCCCTATTGGGAAGAAGTCAGGGGTCGATGAACAGGAGTATAAGTCCAGCAAGAAGCCAGGGAATATTCTCCCTAGCATGTCAGGAACAAATCAGGAAGTGGTGAAACCTTGAAGCGTCATCAGGCAGGTGTGAGGTGGTGATTGGTTTTGGCAGAAGCTGCTTGGCTGCTCTTTTCACTCTTGCACTTTTCTTCCTTCCCTTCCCTGGTTCTCTTGGTGGCCCCACACAGGTGTATGCCCACGCAGGTGCAACACTGGAGGGGAAGATGTATGTTACCTGTGGCCGCAGAGGGGAAGACTACCTGAAAGAGACACATTGCTATGACCCAGGCAGCAACACCTGGCACACACTGGCAGATGGGCCTGTGCGGCGAGCCTGGCATGGCATGGCCACTCTCCTAGACAAGCTGTATGTGATTGGGGGCAGCAACAATGATGCCGGCTATAGGAGGGACGTGCACCAGGTAAGCCAGGGCCAGGGCTGCCCACTTAGGTCATCAGAGCAGTTTTAAGTTCATAGCACATGAACAGAAGATGTAGATAGCTCCCATGTATTTTCTGCCCCTATACTTGCACAGCCTGCCCAAATATGGGGAGGACCATATGTGTTAAGTCCGTAAACCTGCAGTATCGTATCTCTTTTTTTTTTTTTTTTTTAACAAAAAAGAATTTATTGGAAGGATACTTAGATCTCTCACTGAATCTTTCAAAAAGTTGAACAACTAGAACAAAAAGCAAGGCTTCTGATTTCACTTTTTTTTTTTTAAATCATAGACCAGCTACTGAATACATACCACTAAGACAAAAAGTAATGTGCTGGTGTGCTCCCATCAGTTCAAGTGACCACTCCCAGGCCAACAATTCCCTGTGACCAGTGTGGCATTGTACAGAGTTTGGGCCAGGAGAGCAAGCTTAGCAGCCAGGCCCCAAGTGCTCCCATAGTGACTTCTGGATTCCTTTCTACCAAGCCTGATATGATACTGCTTGTTTTAGTCCACTTATTCATCAGTATGATCAATCAGTATGATCAAAAGAACTGACAAGAAAAATTTTAAAGGAGGAAAATTTTGTTGGGAGCTCAGTTTCAAAGGTCTCATTTCATAGACAGCTGGCATCATACTTCTGGGCCCAAGGTGAGGCAGAACATAATGGTAAAAGAATTAGCATAAGAAAGCAGCTTAGGACATGGCAACAAGGAAACAGAACTGCACTGGCACATCTTAAACCCCAAGTCAAGTTTACATGAAGGTTCACTTTTTTTTTTTTTTTTTTTAGTAGTAGTAGTAGGACACAATACCTTTATTTTATTTATTTATTTTTTTATGTGGTGCTGAGGATCAAACCTCACACTTGCTAGACGAGCTCTTTACCACTGAGCTACAACCCCAGCCCTGAAGTTTCACTCTTGGTCTTGCACATTCTATGGGTTTAAATAAACATATAATGACTTGTGTCCACCATTACAGTATCGTACAGAATAGTTTCACTTGTGCCTTTATTATTAGTAGTAAAAACTTAAAACTTATATTGCTGGATATTGTGGCATGAATAATCCTAGCTACTTGGGATGAGGATAGCTTGAGCCCAGGAGTTCAACACCAGCTTAAAGTAAGAAACTTTTATTATTAAGTTAATATAACCACATTGCAGAATATGGCTATAAAAAATAGATAAAGGTGAGGAAAACTAGTTTCCTAACTGGCCCCTGCATCATTGGTTTTCAGTTTTTCTAACTGTGAATGCTTTGAATGGTTTCTACCTAATTCCATCAGAGAGCATCCCAGTATGCTTCCCTTGCTGACATTTGTTCTGAGCATTCTTCAGTTTAACACTCAGTTTTCATAACCGTAGCCTGTTCTGCCCCTCTCATAGCTTTGTAGCATTCTATCAAACTGATGTGTCATTTGGATTCGTACAGATTTAACCATTCTATATAACATGATAAATAATATTTGATTTGAACAGCTTTTCAGGCATTTTGGATTCTTTCCTTAGTTTCATGCAGTGGTTCTCAAAGCATGGTCCCCAAACTAGTAGCCTCCATCCACCTCACCTGGGATTGCTGCATTAAGAAGGCAGGTTCTCAGGCTCAGCCCCCCAGACTCCTCATTCAGAAGCTCTAGGGATGGGACTTGGCTGTCTGGGTTTAACACACCCTCTCATGGTAAGAACCTGGGCCAGTACAATTAGTTTTTGATTGCTGCCATAACAAATCTCCACAAACTTAGCAACTTAACATAAGTTTATTATTATGGTTCTGTAGGTCATAAGTTTAACAGGCAGAAGTCAAGGTGTTATTGGGCTTCTTTCCTTCTTGGAGGCCCTAGGGAAGGATCCCTTTCTGCTTACTTGGGCTTTTGGCAGAATTCTGTCATTGGTGGTAATAGGACTAGCTGACTGTTGGTTAAAGACTTCTAGAAGCCGCTCATCTTCAAAGTCAGTGAGGGCAGATTGAGTCCTTTTCATTTCTCTCTTCTGTCTGGCTTTCCCTTTCCACTTTTTTATTTATTTATTTATTTATTTATTAGTATTTATTTTTTAGTTTTCGGTGGACACAACATCTTTGTTTGTATGTGGTGCTGAGGATCGAACCCAGGCCGCACGCATGCCAGGCGAGCGCGCTACTGCTTGAGCCACATCCCCAGCCCTCCCTTTCCACTTTTGAGGACTTGTGCAAATGCTCTTCCATTTATAGTGGGGTTATGTCTTTGATAAACTCATAGTAAACTGAAAATATCCTAGGTCAAAACTGCATTTAATTCACCTAACCTACCAAACATCACAGTTTAGCCACACAATATACTATAGCAACCTGGTTGTTTACTCTCGTTATTGAGTGACTGACTGGAAGCTTGCTCCCTCTGCCTAGCATTGCAAAAGAGAATCATACCACATATGCCTCATCCCTGTAAAGGTCACAGTTCAAAGGATTTCTACAGAATGTGTATCACTTTTCCATCATAAAGTTGAAAAATCATAAATTGAACCGTCTTAAATTGGTGGACTCAGTGAAACTACTCTGTACGATATTGTAAATAAATCTACCCCCCCCCAAAAAAAAAAAAAAAATCCCACATTGAAGTTTACACCTTTAACCCCATCTGCAAAGTTACTTTTGCCACATAAGGTAACATATTCACAGGTTCCAGAGATTGGGGCTGGATGTATTTGGAGGACTGTTACTCTGCCTACTAAAGCTAGTAAATCACAGTGGTTAGTCAAGAAGATAAGATTTTTATGGCTCTTAATACATATTGACAAATTCCTTTCCTGACTTATAAGTAGTATGGCTTTACCACACCTTCAGCACAATTGGATTTTGTTTTTCTTGCCCTAGAAAGGGGGGACATTTCAGTTTTGCATGTCTTGCATTAGGTGGAACATTTTCCTATGTCTTTGTTTACTGTTTTGGATAATTTTGAAGACGAGAATGTTGATGGTCATGATTAGTAAGCAACTGCTTTCACTTTGCACTACCTGCTAGTGATTTTTACTGTAGGGAGAGGTAAAGATGTAGAAGTGGGATCCTTGTCATCAGTCAGCTTCAGTGTTATGGAGAGAAGAGAAGCAGTACCTCAGAATGTGCAAAATGACAGCCTGCTGAAGGGGAGACAACTGCACATATGGTAGGCAAAAGCTGGCCATGGGTTGGGTAATCTGGATGAAGGCCTATATCCAAGTGAGGTCAGAGAGAGCAATACTATTCCAGACAAGGGGCCAAGAGTGGGCCTCCTGCAGACCTGGCCATCTCTGGGCAGGTCAGCATCAGGTTGCCCCATGGGCAGGATGTTTTAGCTTTGGCACTGCATCATTCTTCCAATGTCTATCAGAGATTGACAGGTAACTAAGGCTGCATTGGTCAGCTGGTCAGGGATGGGTTGGCAGCCTCTCCCAGCAGGCACCCAGGCTTGACCCTTGCTTTGGCTTTGCAGGTAGCCTGCTACAGCTGCACATCTGGGCAATGGTCTTCTGTCTGCCCACTCCCAGCTGGACATGGCGAGCCTGGCATTGCCGTGCTGGACAGCAGGATTTATGTGCTGGGTGGCCGCTCTCACAACCGTGGCAGCCGCACAGGCTATGTGCACATCTACGATGTGGAGAAGGACTGCTGGGAGGAGGGGCCCCAGCTGGACAACTCCATCTCTGGCCTGGCGGCCTGCGTGCTCACTCTGCCCCGCTCCCTGCTCCTTGAGCCACCCCGTGGGACCCCCGACCGCAGCCAGGCCGACCCGGACTTCGCCTCTGAGGTGATGAGTGTGTCAGATTGGGAGGAGTTTGACAACTCTAGTGAGGACTAGGGCTCCAGTTCCCAGCATCAGAGGGTGGGGTGGCAGGGACTGTAAGAGTAGTAAGACTTATAGGGCCTGAGCCAGGGCCTGGCTCCAGGGTGGAGGACCATCCTCCTGGTACCTGTGGCTCACTGGCTTCTGATGCCCTTCTTCACTCTAGCCCCTTGACAGACTTATACAGCATTTGGGGGGCTGGTGCAGACTCTGTGGCTATGGTTTATGTTACCATGGGAAATGCTCCCAAAAAGCTGTGGTCCTCTGAGGGAGTGACCAGGCCCAGTTCTCCTCAGTGAGTACTGGCATCACCAGCTGTCTTGGCCTTCCCCCACTTTCCCTGGATCTGGTCCCTGTTGGGCTAAGAAGATCCCTTATCCAAAAGGACCTGAGGACTAACAACCCAGGTGAGAGGGGCTGAGGCACATGGTGCCCTTTCCATGAACAGGGTAGGGCTTGATGAGCAGTCCTGAGTGCTGCCTAGTAGCAACCAGGGCCTTGAGCAGTTGGGAACTCCCAGGGGACAGAGAAGGAGCAGATTCAAAGTTGCCTGGGACTGGTTCTAGCCATGAAAAAATCCCCTACTGCTGTTTTTCTGATCCCATGTTGTTGATAAATGAAATAAAGCATTATACTAAAGGTGTTAACTATTTTCCTGTGTCCAGACTCAATTCCTTTCCAGTGTGTCCCAGTGGCATCCCAGGGAGGCATAGATTTGCAAGGTCAGAGCTACCTTGCAGGATGGGCTGTGGCATGGAAGAGATGAGGCCCCATCCAACACCTGGAGATCATGGTCCTCCCTCAGAGAGGCATAGTAAACTCTCCAAGCTGACAGGGTGGTCATCAGGGAACCGGGAGCCTGCCCTGCTCTTGTGGCAGATGACTGTTTCACCTGCTTGAACAACCTCTCTAGTGAAGTCTACCATCCAAGGCCTGTTGAACTTTAGTCCAGCTCCAACTAGAAATCTCTTAGGATAGGGGGTGCAGTTCAGTGGTATAGCACTTGCCTAGCATGTGCAAGGTCCTGGGAGTTTGATCCCTAGCACTGCAAAAATAAACAAACAGTGGGGGGCAGGCAGATAAAGTCCTGGCCTCAGCACTTGGGGAGGGAAGTGGCATCAAGGGAAGAACCATGAGACACTGTCCTAATTGGAGGCACCTATGCCTAGCTCCTCCCCACTTCCTGACTGCATTTCTCAGACATCTTGTTTCAACGACCATGCTGGTACAACAGATGAGACCTACCCTGGGCTATTTTCACCAGTGCCTCTCCTCCCATCTAGGAGTTATCAGACACATCCTGTGCCCACAACGGATCAACTGGGGATCTGGCACAAACCTTGCCACTCTGCCCAGCTTCCAGGATACACAAAGCTTTCTTCCACTTGAACACGTTTCCTTCTACACGTTCAAGTTCATACTGCAGGCCTCCCTGAAGGAAATTGTTGTGCAAATGAGTTGGGCAGGCAACTGGGCAGAGCATGGGAATGACCAGGTCATCTCACTAGTACCCTGTCATGGAAGAGGAAAGAATGGAGAAACAATACATTTCACTTGATGGGAGGATTGTGGCAGAGGTACAGATGATGGGTTGCTCTGTATTCTCCTTTTGGGATCCCCCTGAGGACTGTGGGCCCTTGGAGTTGACATTTACTCTCAGGGCTGCCTGTGTAACCTTCATCTTGGGACCTGTGAAGACAGGACATTACTCATAGACACCTCAGTGTGGCATACCCAGTGTTGACCTCAAGTGGGTCCCTTCCAGTAGGGCAGGATGGCCATATGTGGTGTCATCTCCCCTGCTCCTGAGGGTGAGATGCAAGAACATGGGCTCAGTGAGGGAACTTACTCTGTCCATCTCGGACCCTGCTTCCTACATCTCTGCCACCATTTAGCAGGCCAGGGCAGCAGTTCCTGCAGGACCCCAGAGGTTTCTGAAAAGGAAGAGTGCCAGAAATGTTTAGCCACTCTGTAACATGTCTCCAGCCTGCTAGCACTGTCCTCACCCGAGCTAATCATGGCCACAAGCTTGCAGTAGGTATCTGATCTGCAGAAGTCCAAGAAGAGCCTGCTGAGTTCTGGGTAGTATAAAGAGGGTGGAGTGTACTCTGGCAAGACTGGGTGGTAGCCCAGTCTACAGTTGTCACTCCTCAAAGGTCCACTTGGCATACATGGGCACCACATTCTCCTGCCTTTGAATCTAAGCAGTCCTGCCTGTGGGCTTGGGCCGTCTAGCTGGGCCCTCCTGTGGCCATACTCTTTTAGAATTTGCTCTCATGAAAAACCCTCCCTCAAGGTCCACCTCCTTCAGGAAGTCACCCTGGCCAGAGCTAGATGGCCAGAACTGGGCTTCTTGGTTGGCCCTTATCTGTGGGATCCTGTGAACCTATGTTGTCTTTATCCTAGTGTTCACCTGGCACCAGACCTGGCAATAAGGTAATCATATTTCAACCATATTTCTTTGTCTCCTGCTGAGGGGATGGGTGCCATGGTGGCTGGGACAGATGAAGGACCTGCTTGCAACACCAAAGTCACTACCCACTGCATGGTATCTGCAATGGAGGAAGCTAGGGAGCTGAGACAAGGCTAGGGATAGTCCTTGTCCTGAGGGCAGTGGGGAACAGTCATCCCAAAACCAATGTAAGATCACACTCATCTGTCTGGGTGGCACATATACAGGGCTGGGTAGAGATTTGAGACATTTAGGAGGTCCTGATAATGGGTGTGGGGTGGAGGCATTTTCCCTTTACAGATGTGGGGAAGAGGAAAGAAGTTGATGGAGGTGGAGAAACCTATTCATGAATTTGGCCCAGCTGAGGTGAGTATCCTCTCCATCCCAGAAGGTCACTGCTTATAAAGCCAGGAGTTAGCTGGGGACAAACACTGAAGGACAGGGAACTCTACTATCCTCTATTGGCAGCAGCAATAGGGAACCTCTAAGGGACAGGCATTCAGCATTGGGAAGGCATTGCTGAGGTCAGGGCAGTGCCTAGGCTGATCTGCCCAGAAGTGGTTGGCATGTTTGCTTGTCCCCAGAAGTGTTTGCATTTGTGACCACATTAATTGCACTTCCCCTTGAACCCACCCTACTTCTCTCCTGCACCAGCAAAGCTGAGGGCTGAGAGGCCCCAGTTCCCATATTCCCCACTCTCCTCCTCCTCATCCTAACCTCCACCATCTGCCTGCCAGCCTGGTGATGCCTCTGGCCTTGGGCCTGTCAGTGACTGTTTCTGAGTCCAGTCCTCCAGCTCCACCCACCACACTGCCTGTGTTCCCTCCTTCCCCAGGGAGCTTCTGGCCTGCTGCTGTGCCTGCCACCAAGAGAAAGCAGGTGCCCTCTCATTGCTCAGGCCCTCCCACTTTAAGTACTCAAAAGATAAACACTTTCTTGATAGAACCTAGTTGACCATCAGGAATAACTGTGCTTCCTGCCCACACTCCCTGCTCCTTGGGCCTGGAGTAGGGTCTGTCCCTGTACTCCTCAGACCCAGTTTTCCTGCTTTTTCCATAGCTCCCTGTGGCTCCATTCTGCCCCCCTCCTGCACTGTCCCTTTGCTGTGTGCTCTCAAAACATTGAAAGGTTTGGTTTCTTTGCTGCCCAATGAGGCCAATGACAAGAGAACAGAGTGGTGGGAGAGAAAAGAGCTTTATTGGCAGCAAATCAGCAAGTTGGAGGATTGAGGGCTCTCACCCTAAAGTCCCATGTTGCTTTGGAGTCTCAGGTCCTAAGCTTATATAGGGATTTTTAGGAAGTATATTTTTAACCATAGTCAAGGGAGCACCAGGGCTGGTCATTAATTTTGCATCAAGCAGCTCTTCTGAGGAGCATCTTGATGTTATCTTGCTATCTTAAAGTCACCAGACATTCTTGGTTCCTATAAATCTAAAGAAAGGCTACTGATTAAGGGGGTCTTATAATTGATATTTTCTTGTTCTCCTTTTCCTGATAAAGCTGACTTTAGTAGTCAATTATTTAGGGAGTCAGATACAGAGGAAGCAAAGTAAAGAAGAGAAGTTAATTTAGAAGAGGAGAGAAGTGAGAGAGTCAGTGGTTTTACTGGCCTGATGTGGTTTCCACTCTCCAGGCCCGACTCCTAGACTTTTTCCTCTGGGATCTAACAGCCTTCTCAAGCAGAATCCATCTTCTAGGCTCCCCCAGTTCCTTTCACCCCTTGATAAGGGCTGCAGGATTTCAGCTCCCATGTCCATGCTGCCTCCCTCTGCCTTTACCTCCACATTCTATTACAGCCCACGTCTGGACCATTTTACCCTCTCTTCTATCTGTCCCAGCAAAGCTGCCTCTCGTCCAGACGCAGGCTACCCACAGGCCTCGAGCATCCTGCTTAGTCCGTTTCTTGCGCTCTTGGATTGCTCGGAGTGTGAGAGGTGCTGACAGCACACTAGCACAAGGGCTTCCAGTTCCCCAAACCGTGATGCCGGCTTGTGGCCCAGGGCTGTCTCTCGATCCCCTTCCACTGGCCGGTACCAAGGAGCTAGAGTGGGGGATGATTTGGGGCGTTGCGCTGTACATCCCTCACCCCACTTCCCGCCCTGGGCCTGGCTGTGCAGTGAGCACGCAGGGGCAGCTGCTCCCGTGGATGTCTGACGAGGGGAGGGAAAGGCAGGGGAACGGAGGACTCCTCTGGCTGGCCCCATGGCCCTTCCCTCCCCTAATGCTCGGCGGGCCTCCTTCAACTTAGTCCCCCAAGTTTGTGAGTGGCCAGGTGGGGGCGGGGGCCGCGCAGAGGGGCGGCGGCGCGGCCGGAGGGTGGGGTCTGGCGCACTGGGCGGGCGCTGCCGCCTGGCCGGCCCGCGGCTGGCCCGGGATCAGGGAGCCGATGTGGAATTTCCTGCCCGGCCCGGCGCCCCTCCTGCCGCCCCCCGCCCGGCCTCGCACTCAGCTTCCGGCCGCTCTCGTCGCGGCCGCACCCGCGCCCACCCGTGCCTGCCCCGCGCCGCATGGAGGGCGCAGGGTCCCGGGGGGCCTGGCCGGTGCGGCGCCGGGGATCCGTGAATCTGCTGCCTCTGCCTCCGCTGCTGCTACTGCTGCTCTGGCTGCTGCCCCGTACCGCGACGCCCCAGGAGCTGAACCCGCGCGGTCGCAACGTGTGCCGCGCGCCGGGGTAGGAGCCCGGCCTGGTTGGGGGAGGGGATCTAGGGGGCCGATGGGGGCTGTGAGCTGGGGTGCCCAGCATTGGAGGAGGGCCCCCCCCCAACCTCCCTACGCCAAATGAGCGGGCCCCTTTGGCAGCTTTCGCTGAAGCCTGCTTCGTTCCAGGCCGAGCTTGCCTCCCGGGCCACGATTGGGCATCCCAGGATACCCCATACCAGGAGTCACCTGAGGGGATAACAGAGTGTTTTGGGTGCCCAGAGGAGTGACACACAGTGTCTGAAATTTAAGAAAAGTTCCGAAGAAGAGACCCTTCTCCTAAGGGAGAAGCCGAGGAATGGCATTCCAGGCAGAAGGAACTGCATGTGCAAAGGCCCCAAGCACAAGTGGTTTGAACCTGGGGTGGGGAGGAGGGTCGCAGAAAGAAAAAGTAGCTACGCTCCAGCCAGGGGTGTCTTGAGGCAGGCAAAACTTTAAAGGACAGATTTGTCTTAGAGCGGACGCTGTGGGAGGATGGTGATGGAGGTGAGTACCGAAAAGCTGGCTTCAGAGTGGCTAGATAAGGCAGTACAAAGGACAATAACCGGCGCGGGGGACTAAAGGATGTGGGAACTCCTGGAGACTCCCAGGTAGCGATAGTGGTGCGCGGAGGGGCAGCGCAGAGTTGGGGCATCAACAGGAGCTGGCCCCTTGTGGGACAGGTAAGGGACAGGCCCCGCCCGTGGTCCTGAAAAAAAAAAAAGCGGAAGGTGAAGAGAGAAGGACAGGACACTAGGAACGGCGCAGGAGTCCAGGTACCTGGATGGCTTGTCTAAGGCCACGCGGGGTCAAGGGCATCTCTGCAAAGGGGCGAGGAACGGGCGTGTGGGGGCGCTTGGGCTGGTATTGGGGGCTGCCGCACTGGCTAGCAGCTGGGGAAGCAGCCATGGGGTTCCGGGTTGGGTTCTCCTGGAGACACCCTGAGCCTCAGGTCCGGTGAAGGCCGAGTCCAGGGGCTCAGGGGTCGCTAAAGACAAGGGGCTGTAGGGGGCTGCGCGGGGTTTCCGAACTACAATCAGAAGGCGCGCAGATCCCTCCCAGCTGCGAGGCCCGCCTTGGGGGCGGGGACCGGCCTGGCCCGCCATCTGCTTCGCATCGACGCCGCCGCTGCCGCCTCCCGGGCCTCCCCGACCCCAGGAATGCAGAGGCGGCGGCTGCAGGCGGGACGGTGCGTGGAAAGGGGGAGGGCACGATCGCCGCCTGGCTCTGTCTAACTGCCCCAGTCCTCTTCCCTTCGCGGGGCCCGGTCCAGGGATGGGGATCCGGTGGCAGGATGGTCTTGTGGAGCTGCTTCAGGAAGGCGCTTGGCTCCCAATCTCCTTGTCCCCTTCCCAGGAGGCTGACTGGTTCTGTAACTAAAAGCCTAGGTTTGAGTGTAGATCCTGGTGACAGCCATCCCCAGCTGTGCAGACAGCAAATCCATAACCTTTGTAGGCCTGTCTCTACCTCTGTAAAATGAGGTTGATGATGGGACCCACCTCATGTTTTGTTTTGTTTTGTTTTGGGGGGGAGTTGCTGTGATCATGTGTGTGGAGGATTCATAGGAAGGCAGTCACTCTAAACACTGCCCTCCTGGGGTCTGGGGCCTTCTCTTTTGTTACACTCCAAAGAGGACCAGGAGAGGGAGTATGTGTTCAGCCAATAAGATCACACCTATCTGGTGATGGTCCAGGGACACAGCGGACACCAGTATTCTTGTGCCACCTCTGTGCACGTGGTGGAGACATACAGTTAGAAAGCAAGTGGGTCTAGACATCTAGCAGGTGCTGGGGAGGAAGGGTTGAATTAGGGGTAGTTTCCTTTAGACGGATCTGTGGAGACCTACTGAGAAGATAGTAGTGAGGCAGGTATCTGGGGTAAGACCCAGAACCCAGAGGTTAAGTTGGAAACACAGTAAGGAGACTTTGGGTTGTGCAGAGCCCAGGATGGTGATGGTGAAGAAGATACTGAGAATGGAACTGGGCAGGCCACAAGGGGTTTGCTACTGTTCTGAGGACTTGGACTTCCCTGAGGGCAGTGGGAACCCAGGGAACTTTGCACAGGGAAGGGTTGGGATCTGATGAAGGTTTGGCTGCCAGGTGGCAGATACACTGGGAGGTAGCAAGGCCAAAGCTGGGGTCTTCTAGGAAGTCAGGAGACACTACAGAAATCAAGATGGCTCTCTAGAGGCTGGGACAGGCCAATGGAAATTGGTCCCAATTTAAATGTAGTTTGGAAGAGAAGGCCTAATTTTCCACTAGAGAGGAGTCAGGGATGCCTATCAGGTCTCAAATCTCTCCACCTGGAAGGACAGGGTGACCCGAGGACATCAGGAGTTCAGTTTTGGATAAGAGTTCTCCCTGTAGTGATATTTTCCAGTGAGCAGTTGGATTTAACAAGTCTGGCATTAAGAGGGAGGAGGCCAAGGCATTGTTAGTAACCTGAAGGAGCTAGTGTGACAGAACAGAGAAGAGGAAAGACCTGAGGATAGGGACAGAAAACAGAGGAGAGGTGTCTTGAGGGAAGGAGATTCTAGGTAGTGCCATGGCAGGTAGAAAATCTTCTCTGGCTGGATTTGGGGAAGAACAGGGTCAGGCACAGGTACATGCGTGGGCTTTAAGGTGGGCAAAATCACAGTGAGTTTGTATCACAGCAGAAATAATGATATCCAATTGGGGCAGCCTGCAGCTTGCCATGCTTGCTGCTGGGGCCTGGCTCCCCAAGGTCTTGCCCACCTGTAGAGCAAGCAAAGGAACTGCTCCTTGTACCAACTGTCTCTCTCCACCTCATCTTTCTAAAATCTTAAGCATGTGGCCTTGCCAAACCAGCCTGCCCCTCTCTGCTAGCCCTTCCAAGAAGGAAGGACTCTTGTTCTCCATGAATCCAAATGAACTTTGTTCTGCCAGTGGGTATTGGCTTTGCTGCAGTGTGTCCCGGGTGCCTACTGTGCTGGAGATGACCAACTAGACTCAGAGGCTTTCTGGAACCTACTCCCAGAGAGCAGGGACATAAACCACAGCCTAAGGCAAAGCTCTTAGTATTTGCTAAGTATTGCACACATCTTGGCCCACTTAATCCTCCTGCCAAACCCAAGGGCTTCATACTATAGCTAAGAAGCCTGCTGCTCAGAGATGTGAAGCTCCTTGCCTGAGGTCACACAGCAAGTGGCAGACCCAGCATCAATTCCTGTTGAGTGTGGCTCTAAAACCAGGCTCCTAGCCACAGAGCCACCAGAATGCCAGACTGTCCTAGACAGAGGTGTGGTCAGTGTTTCTGGAGACATCCCAGCAGGCTTTCTAATAAGGCTACTTGCAGGAGAGAATCTCCATCTAGAGACCAGGGTTTAGAACTAAGCAGAAATTGGAGGAGGATGGCTGGTGTACTTGGGTCTCCCTGTAGATGGGTTCCTTGGAGCCCTTGGGTCAGAACTGGATGATGGAGGAAAATCCAAGGGCAGAAAATGGGGACAGGAAAATCTAGGCCTGTTTTGCATTCCTGTTTGTAGTTTCCATTTTTTTTTTTTTTTTTTTTTGTGTGTGTGTGTGTGTGTGTAAAATATGCTGGGCCTGTTCCCCTCATTCAGGATTTTATGAGTCTTGTTCCTCAGGTCCCAACCAGTCTTTCAGTGAAAGGGGACTCCCTTGGGACTTTGGAGCCCTATCCATGGTGTTGCAGTTATCTTAAACTGGGGATGGTTGGGGGCATCTTCTGCTATAGAATTGAGAAAAAAACATCTGGGTTTGCTGGGACTCTAGGAAACAGCAGCCTCAGTGGGTGTTCCTTTTAGGCCTCCTCTGACCCCCAGCTATGGGCACCCCTAGGCATCTTCTCCAGCTGTCATGAGCATCCTTTCCAGTCATCATGGCTTTACCTGGGCAGGGCCTCCACACCTTTGTCCTCACACACCCCATCCACCCCAAGGTTTAGGTACCATCCTGAAAGAAATTACCTTCTAGGGATTGGAGGTGTAGCTCAGTTCTGGAGCACTAGCTGTGCAAGGCCCTGTGTTTGAACTCTGGTACTGTCCAAGTTTTAAAAAATCACTTTTTTAAATCCAAATAAAATTAAACATGAGTAAAACAGTAAGTATAAGTAGATGCACTGATGTTTTCTTCCTCCACTCCATGTCTTGCCAGCATCCGAGAGCTCTGAAGTTTTACTTTTCTTATGAACATGGAGAACCCCCTTTGTGCTCTGCTCCACTCCTAGTAGAGAGGCAGGCCCCACCCTGCCTTCCTCTAGGAGTCCTGCCAAGTGGACTCCTGTGTCCACAACCCACTTCACCCAGAGACTGCGCATCCAACCTTGGTGCTTATCCCTAACTGGGCATTCAAGTGTGACCAACTGGTCCAGCTGATCTTGGTGCTGGCCCAGTCATATCACATCTGGATCCTGTCACTGATCCAGCCAGGCCCTCCATCCTGAGATGTCCTAGACCCCTGTCTTGGCAGGGGTCCTGGAAGCCCAAGGTTTGCTCTAGCCCCCACCTCATAGGGCCTCTTTTCTCAGACTTAGTGGCTGGTGAGGAGGGCATTGGAGGGTGGGATGGGAGGGATGGGGGAGTCCTTGTGGGTGGGAGGGCTGGGAAGTTCTTAGAGGTTAGCTGTTGGTGGTGTACCCTTTGCTTCCTACCAAAGGCTGGAATTTGTGTCTTATCCACTGCCATCTCCCATACTTCCAACAAATAACCACTTCCCTAGGGCAGGCCCCAGGGAAGTAGGGGAGGCTGCTGGGGAATCCTTGTAGGGATTAGGGAAGGGATGCAGATGAAGGAAGGAGCCTCAGATTCAGTAGTCCTTCTACTCTCAGCTCTCAGGTGCCCACGTGCTGCGCTGGCTGGAGGCAGCAGGGGGATGAATGTGGGATCGGTGAGTGGGACATCCCAGTGGTCCGGGTAGGAGGGTGGGGGGACGGAAGTGGAGAGAACAGTTGTGGCAGCTCAGCCCCTCTTGTCCGCAGCGGTTTGTGAAGGCAATTCCACGTGTTCAGAGAACGAGGTGTGCGTGCGACCGGGCGAGTGCCGCTGCCGCCATGGCTACTTCGGTGCCAACTGCGACACTAGTGAGCGCGGGCGGGGTTGGGTACAGGAGATGAAGCTGGAGAGCTGGGGTGGGGGGAATAAGCCAGGAGTAGAGTTGGGGGTGGAGCCAGGTCTGATCCTAGATTGGATCAGTCTAGGGGATGGGTCGCCTAAGGCAGGGATTGGGAGTGGGCACCCAGACACTCGAGCCTCCTACCCCCTCGTTCCTGCAGAGTGCCCGCGCCAGTTCTGGGGCCCAGACTGCAAGGAGCGATGTAGCTGCCACCCGCATGGGCAGTGTGAAGACGTGACCGGCCAGTGTACGTGTCACGCGCGGCGCTGGGGTGCGCGCTGCGAGCATGCGTGTCAGTGCCAGCATGGCACGTGCCACCCGCGGAGCGGCGCGTGCCGGTGTGAACCCGGCTGGTGGGGCTCTCAGTGCTCTAGTGCGTGCTACTGCAGTGCCACATCGCGCTGCGACCCACAGACAGGAGCCTGCCTGTGCCATGCAGGCTGGTGGGGCCGCAGCTGCAACAATCAGTGCGCCTGTAACTCGTCGCCCTGCGAGCAGCAGAGCGGCCGCTGCCAGTGCCGCGAACGCACGTTCGGCGCGCGTTGCGATCGTTATTGCCAGTGCTTCCGCGGCCGCTGCCACCCTGTGGACGGCACGTGCGCCTGCGACCCGGGCTACCGCGGCAAGTACTGTCGCGAGCCGTGCCCCGCCGGCTTCTATGGCCTGGGCTGTCGCCGCCGGTAAGCACGGGGCCAGAGCAGGGGAAGGGAGAGGGAGAAGGGCGAGCCACTTAATGGAGGCGGGGGTTAGGCGGGTCCTGGCTCCGCCTGGTTTCCTGACCCTTCCCTAGGTGCGGCCAATGCAAGGGCCAGCAGCCATGCACCGTCGCCGAGGGCCGCTGCCTGACGTGCGAGCCCGGCTGGAATGGAACCAAATGCGACCAGCCGTGTGCCACGGGCTTCTATGGCGAGGGCTGCGGCCATCGCTGCCCTCCCTGCCGCGATGGCCATGCCTGCAACCATGTCACCGGCAAGTGTACGCGCTGCAACGCGGGCTGGATAGGTGACAGGTGAGCAGCCAGTGCCTGCGTGGGCCCAGACACGCAGCGCTCCGTCGTAACTCCCCCCACCTCAAGGATCTCTGCAGAGTGTTCTGTAAGCTATGTGTAGATTTGACTCCATTTCCACTGTTGCCTCCTGCCCTCTTTCCAAGGTGCGAGACCAAGTGCAGCAATGGCACTTATGGCGAGGATTGTGCTTTCGTGTGCGCCGATTGCGGAAGCGGTCACTGTGACTTTCAGTCAGGGCGCTGCCTTTGCAGTCCTGGAGTCCACGGGCCCCAGTGAGTGCCCTGGGCCCTGGAGAGGGTTAAAGGGTTATGTAGCCAACACGAGGCCCTCCAGCCAGACCTAACAGGGGTGGGTCTTAAGACAGCTTCTTTGAGGAGAATTGTACCCAGGTGTGGAGCTTGCGCTCAGACTAGGATCTTGCCACCAACTAATCTGTGGTCAGTGGGTTCCCGAGGTGACCCTAGCCAGTGTAGGGACCTCCATTTACAGTCAAGGGTCTGTTACTGGAGGGAGCTCCTCCTCCTACCCACACACAAAAGTCAGCCCCAGGAAAAGGTCCAGTGAACAAGAATCCTCCAGACCCCCTCAGCAGATGGTGCACACGTTCAGTTCCAAAATATTGACACCCAGTGTGTGCCTGTCCACAGGTGGGGTAGGCTTCAAACTGTAGAGAATTGAGCTAGACATCCTGGCTGTGGGACTGGATTCTGATCTTGGTGGCCTGGAAGAGGGAGGGAGAGGCATCAGGGAGGGTTGCTGTGGCCTGCCCTGATCCCACGACCCCGCAGCTGTAATGTGACGTGCCCGCCTGGGCTCCACGGCGTGGACTGCGCCCAAGCCTGCAGCTGCCACGAGGACTCGTGTGACCCGGTTACCGGTGCCTGCCGCCTGGGTGAGTAGGTGATGAACGTCGGGTTAGAGAACGTGGGGAACTGAGGGCATTCGCGTTGACCCAGTGTCCCCCATAGAGACCAACCAGCGCAAGGGTGTAATGGGCGCAGGAGCGCTGCTCGCCCTTCTCCTCGGCCTGCTGCTCTCTCTGCTAGGCTGCTGCTGCGCATGCCGAGGCAAGGAACCCTCCCGCAGGTAAGGTCAGAGTCCCCTCCCGCTCTCCCCGTGTTTCCGGCGTACCCTCTGTAGCGCTGTCCCGATCACCTGGGCCTAGACCCGAGCTCTTCCCCAGCCCAGTCCCGCCCCGGGATCGTCACCACGCCCCCACGCCCAGTCAGCCTTTCGGCTCCTGCGGAGATCTACCCGCCCCTCCAGATCCCTTCGCTCAGGCCCCTCTCCCGCAGGGAGCTCTCGCTTGGAAGGAAGAAGGCGCCTCAACGCCTATGTGGGCGCTTCAGCCGTATTAGCATGAAGCTGCCCCGGATCCCACTCCGCAGGCAGAAACTGCCCAAAGTCGTAGGTAAGAATAAAGGCGCAAGGTCGCTGGGAGAAACACTTTCTCGCAAAGGAAACTACGGGGAAATTGGTCGAAAGCATTCAGGGCTCAGTGCAAAACTTTTTTTGAGTTTTGATGTGCGTGGAGGTGAGGAGGGAGGTGCGACCAGAGGGAAGGAAAGAGGATATTGCTTTGGGTGAGGAAGGCAGGAGTAGATGTGGGGGCGTGTGTGGAAGGCTTGGGTCCTGTGAGTAATTGCATCAGGGTTATATGGATGACATCTCAGCCCGTCGGGCCCCTCAGTCTGTTGGACTATTACTGTGTCCATATGTGGAACTGCAGGGGGACATATGGGCCTGTGGGCGTGGGAATGTTCTGCCCCAAGGAGAAGATCCACCTTCCTGCTTGGATCTTCAGCAATGCCCTTCACTCTTCCTGGAAAGAGAAGGCTGGTCCCTCTCCTCAATGCCCCAAGGGCTCTGGAGGTTTCACGTCCTGCTGCTGCTCATCTGCCTGTGCTGACACAATTCTCTTTTCTAAAAATTGGTGGGAGAGGATCAGATTCTTGATAGATAAAAGGAGACATATGAGAAAACCCTTTGGTCCATGCAGCAGCATAGTATCAGTGGACACAGGTGTGGAATGGATACCAGCCAGCCAGTCTCTGGGATTCCCCATTGTAGTGTCTTGTATCCCTGGAGGCCAGGCCTGGTGGGATACAGGTTGCTGAGATGGGCTGAGCCAAAAGGTGGTCTTGCCACTGGTCTCAAAAGCACTCCAAGGCTACCTGGGTCCCATGAGGTAGGGTTCAAAGCATGGCTTGGAAGTCCTGGTGGCCTGTCCCAGCAAAGTGGTCTCTCTAGCTATCTCTTTCTGACCTTGCCCAACACTTTATGGCAAACTTTTCAGCTCCCTGGCTATACACACTTGCTTTGCATCTCTTACATAGTGTTCCTTCTTGTTTCTCTTTGCTGGGTTCGTTGCTACGCTGGTCCAGTGTCATTCTACCTGTTGAATCTTGTCCCATCCACAGTCTTAGGATAGGGCTGGTGTTGATCACTCCTTTCACATTTGGCTAATGAGGCTGGGTGAAAGGAGAGCCCCTGGCAGCTCTGCCTCACTCCTTCCCCAGTGGCCCATCACGACCTGGACAACACCCTCAACTGCAGCTTCCTGGAACCTCCCTCAGGACTGGAGCAGCCCTCACCATCATGGTCTTCCAGGGCCTCCTTCTCCTCCTTTGATACCACAGATGAAGGCCCTGTGTACTGTGTACCCCATGAGGGTGAGTATGGTCTTGCCAGGGCGTCCCTCCAGCCCAGTGAAATGGAGATGTGGGGCATGCAGTATAGGGAGCAAATGCATAGTGACACTATTTAACTGGGAGTTGGTGACAAAGCTGAAACTGAAAAGGTGGACTCTGCCAATCAGTGCTGGCTGAAGGGGTGTGGAGACAGTGGGCTCTCCTATTATAAGTTGTGGGGCAAGTTCACCTCCCAGGATTGGGGGAGGATGGACCAGGCAGAGGAAATTTCTGGACCTGGGTTGGGAGAGGCAGAGGAGACAGAAGAGAGGATTCATAGGATATGGGCCTAGGGCTCCCAGACAGCAGGAAGGAGCCTGAATGGTTGGGATGCTGGCCTCCCTTCTGCCTTGACCATTCCCCTGGGTGACTTTGGGTGGGTGACTAACCTCTGAGCCTCAGAAGCCTTACTTCTTCAAGAAGGATAATGGAATCCCTTAGAGATATTGGGGTGTCAGATTTGATGATGGTGGCTCCCAGTGTGGGGGTATGGTGAGGAAGGGGGGCAACAACCAACCAGAGTTGGGGTAAATCCCCCCAAACATGCCCTTCACTCTCCAGTAGTCAGCCACACATCCTAGGGTTCTGAACTGTTTGTGGTTGGTGCTATGAATGTGCAGGGCACACCTGGATGCCAGGGCAACACCACTACAGCCCGGTGTAGGCAGGGTCCCAGGCCAGGTGAAGGGAAAGGTTTATGCCCTGGAGATTGGACCAGCTGGCTACTTCTGGAGGTGTGACAGGCCTGCTCTTGTCAGAGGTTGCAGCTGACAGCCGAGACTCAGAGGCCCCCATTGCTCCTGCCGAGGCTCTGGCACCTTCTCCTGCACCCTTGAGCACTCCCGCATCAGCAGAGGAAGCAACTCCCCTCCCTGCATCTTCCGACAGCGAGCGGTCAGCTTCCAGCGTGGAAGGGCCGGGCGGGGCGCTATACGCTCGCGTGGCCCGGCGCGAGGCCCGGCCGGCCCGGGCCCGGGCCGAGGCTGGGGGCTTGTCCCTGTCGCCATCGCCCGAGCGCAGAAAGCCGCCGCCACCTGACCCCGCCACCAAGCCCAAGGTGTCCTGGATCCACCGCAAGCATGGCGCAGCCGCCGCGGCCCGAGCGTCCTCGCCACCACCTCAGGGCCCCGAGACTGCGCCCAGCCCCAGCAAAAGAAAACGGACACCCAGCGACACGTCGGCGCGGCCTGAAGAGCCCGGCAGCCCACGGGCCCGCGACCCGACGCCAAGGCCCCCCGGGCTGACCCAGGAGGCTTCAGCCCTAGTCACTCCCTCGCCGCCCCAGGCCCGAGCTCGGGGCCGCGGCCCCGGCCTCTTGGAGCCTACGGACGCCGTTGGTCCCCCACGCAGCGCTCCCGAGGCCGCATCTATGCTGGCGGCAGAACTGCGTGGCAAGACTCGAAGCTTGGGCCGCGTCGAGGGGGCCCTAGGCGCACAGAGTCCCCGGGAGAAGCCGACGCCGCCGCAGAAGGCCAAGCGCTCTGTGCTGCCCGCCTCGCCGGCCCGAGGATCCCTTGTGCCGGAGGTAACTGGGCCAGAGAAGGCGGTGGCCGGAGCGCTGGCGCCCGAGACCCCTCGGAAGAAGACCCCTATCCAAAAACCGCCACGCAAGAAGAGCCGGGAGGCGGCGGGCGAGCTGAGCAGGGTGGGAGCTCCCACCCTGTAGTAGGAGCGGCCCCACAACACCCGCAGCTTCCCGGGTTTAGCCGCATAGCTTGCCACCCAGCCTTCCGCGTCCCCCGCCCAACCCTCCGTTTCTTCGGCCCAGCTGGTGCACCGAGGCCTCCCATTGGCCACGCCCCCTAGCCTCACAGCAGGAGGCTATGCCTGATTGGTTCAGGCTCCAGCAGCCGCCCATCGATCGAAGAGCGCTCAGGCACGAAGTTCCCCATAGACAAGCCCATAGAAGACAATTCCTTCGTCATTGGCGGGTTATTGAGCTCTCCGACCTACCTGCGTCTCATTGGCCAAAGCCAGGAGGATTCCGCCTGGAGACCTCCTCTTACTGGCCAAGAGTGCACTTAACTGGGGGTACTTTCTAAATGGCTGAAGACAGAATTAACTTCTGCCTTGGCTGCTTCTCATTGGCCAGGGCCTGGAGCCTTTGGCTGAAGGTTCCCTTCCTTGTGGGTAGCTTGAGGGCACTTCCACTACCCCCTGCTGGGTATCTGGTTGACCCAAGCTGGGGAGGGCTGGTCTGCTCCTCAGGGTGTTGGGCTCCCCTGTTCACCCCCAGCTCCTGCCTCCCAACCCTGGCCCCTGAGCTGTCGAGCTGGTTTTGATGGCCTCCCACTACCCTACATGCTGTGGGAACCCCAGGGGTGATTCCAATGGCCTGAGGAGATGTATTTATAGGCCCCCGGCAGGGCTACTCCCACTCTGCCCTGGGAACCCCAGGATGGGTTCCTTCTGGCAGGGGCTTGGCCAAAGCTTTCTTAATAAAGTGCCTTTCCCCACCATCTCCTGTGCTTTACTTCCTGTCTGCGGATCTTTGACAAAATTCTCCCTCTGGTTGACACGGTGGCCCAGGCCTTTAATCCTAGCGGCTCTGGAGGCTGAGGCAGGAGGATTGCAAGTTCGAGGCTTAGTGAGGCCCTGTCTTAATAAAAAGGAAGGGATGTAGCTAAGTGGTAAAGCGCCTCTGGGTTCAATCCCCGCGAGCAAAAGAGATATTTCTCTAAAGAAATTGAATGTGACCCCTTTTAGCCTGCACTCACACTGGCAGGACCCCCTCCACCTAAGCTAAGCCTTGGAGCCAAGGTGTGTGTCTCCAGAGACAGATGGGGTATGTGTCTTGACTGGTCAGATCACAGGGCTTGCCTCTGATCCGTGCCTTTTCTACGGGCCTATGCTATTAAACTTGAAGGTCAGAGATGTTTGGGGTGCTCCAGAGGCTGGGGCCAAGGGGCTAGTGGGCTGCTAATGCAGCCTCCAGCAGGGCCTCCTCTGGCACAAACGACAGTCTGCTGCTGTATAGAGCCCTGCTGTCCGCCTCAATGGGCTCCTTGTCCTCAGCCGGAAACAACTCACCCGCTTGCCCCACCCACCCTGAGAGGTGGTGGGGAGCTGGAGAGGCAGCTGTCTGGCCCAGAGCTCCTGACCTCTGCCTGCTGGCCTGGCCTTCCATCTGGAACAATTTGTCCCCCCAACACCTTCACTGCTCCATGCAAGCCTTCTAGGTGGCCTTCCTGAGCCACAGACCCTGACTTTTCCATAGTTCCTACTGTGTTCCCTAAGTTTTAAAAGTTATGTCTCTCTGGATTCCTCTCATCTCCCTGCCTCTGTCTATCAGGCCTCTTCCTGTTCTCCCCCATTTTTTGATGCCCAGCTCAGAGGCTTCTTATTCTGCCAAGATCCTCCAACCAACTCCCTGAACCCACCCTGCAGCCCACAGGAGGCTTCATCTAACGCTGGCAGGGATCTTTCTCTGGCAGTACTCTTGCCCTTTGGCCAGATACCACATTGAAGTCAACTCTGGTCACCCATATAGGGGCTCAGCCACCTGAACAGAGATGGCCTCCTGCCACCAGCGTGTATCCAGAGCAGCTGATGGGAACACCGTTCTTGTGTCTGACCTGGTCAGGCCACACGTGGAATGCAGGCTCCCTGTCTCTGGGCCACAATGCTTCCTTCAGTCCAGCTGGACACCAGCCCAGCTGTGGCCTGAAGCTAGCTGGCCTCTGACCCATTCAGGCACCAGGTCATGCTGGCTGCTGGGGTTGAGAACACAGTCTCAAAGTTGACCAGAGAGGACAAATGCCCAGTGGGGCCCAGCAAGGACAGGACAGTGACTGTGAGAGGGGGGCAGGGCAGCAGTTTAGGTCACACTCTTGCCTATGCTGTGCCCTCAACCAGAACCATAATGCTAAGCACCCTGCCACTCCCTGACCTCCCAACCCCTATCTCAAGCTCTCCCTCCCCTCTAGCCTGAACTAGCATGATCTGGGGAAACCAGGGTGTCTCAGTGATTAGACTTTTCTGGGGTCTCTCTCTTCTGCTTGCCCTAGGAGCCTCCAAGCATCTGAGGACCAATATACAGGAGCCCTTCTGTAGGCACCTCACAGAGCAGGGACCTCTCCCCTTCCAGTGGGCAGCCCCTGCTCCTTGCCCCCCAGGAAGTTCCCCTCAACTGTCTTCAGCCCTCACTGCAATAGGTTCCTCCCCACCCCCTTGGGGCTTGCAGGAGTGCCAGCTCCCAGGGCAGGCGCCACAAAAGAGAACCGCGGCTGCTGGAACCTCCGTTGCCATGGGGATGGGGACCACAGGACCCACATCTGGTAGCGATTGAGGAAGAAAAATTATGAGTCGTGGAAAATGCAAATATTTTTTTGTAGCACAGAGCACAAAGGAATGTGGGGACTGGAAAAGGGCCTAGGCCCAGTCTGGTTTCCAGCAGGGACACGGCACACGTTACACAAAGGGTCCAGGCTGTGCACATGCACACAGCCAAACCAGCAGCTGCTTGTCCTGAAAAATGCACATTTACCACTGGACACACAGAAATATCAACTCAAGCACTCAACCTGAAAGTCACACACATGCTACACAAGGCACCAGAACCCAGAAACAGGGACAGATACACCAGGCAACAAGTACCCCCCACACAATTGGACCCCCCCAAAATAGAGACAAGCACTTGCCAGTGCACAACACTCCCTGACACACAGAAGTACCTAGACACACAATTCTCCACTAGACAGAAATGGACACCCACTCTCTAACAGAGATGCACAATTCACAACTCATAGAAGCATTTTAACACTGCACACACGCACCCAGAGAGACACAATGCAACATGTCCAGTCCACCTACAGTAATATAGAGAACTATCAGCCTGCAAAACACATATACAACTCATTAAAATAGAAAAAACACACACACTGTGGTACAAAAACATCCATCAGACATAGAAACACAGAGACAGATACTGTCACACACACACACACATACACACACACACACACTCACATACACACACACACACACACTTTCACCAGACACAAAGAAAATCAGAAGCAGATATGTATGACAGATACATGCATAATCTGAGACACAGAGACATCTGTGCATCTCTGAAAAATGCACACAGACATACACACAATCCATGACACACTGAAAAAAGAGGCAAATACTCATCCTGCAAACACACATCCTCCACCAGACATAGAAATTTGAGAAAGCACATCACAACACAGTCACCAAACACACTCTCTGCAACGTATGGGCACATTACCAGACAAAGCATCCACACACATACTGTACTCCACCACACTCACAGAAGCACATCTGTAAAACACGTACACACACACATACCACACCACCACCACATCTGACACAGAGACATCAAGAGGCTCCCACTTTACAACAATAAACAGCCTCCACTGGACTCACACACACACCACCATCACCACCACTACCACCACCACCACCAATACATTGAAGCATATGCATCTTGTAACACACATAGACACTACCTGTCCCACAGAAATACAGAGAGAGAGACACACACACACAGTACCAAAGAGTAACACACGCAACACGATGCATTGAAACCATGGACCCAACGAAATAAGTAGATGGATAGGAGATAGATACCCGCTGTGCAGCATATTACACTGTGTCATATCTACAGAAACATCAAGACAGATAGATGGACAGACACACATACATAATATACCTAATATTTATACACACTACAAAACACACAGATACATGGAGACAGACACACACAGTGGAAACTTACAAACAATCCTCCAAACACTGAAGCACTGAGGCAGACTGATAGTATCTATGGTTGAGAAACCCCCATTCTTTGACATTATGAGAAAGGGTGAACCCTGAAGGACCACTGTGCCCCACATCTCTTCCAAGATTCACCCTAAATAAAGTCATCTCCTTATGTGTCTTGTACATTTCCCTGCAGTTTCAGGGCCCTGATGTGATCTGGATTGGACTTACTTTCCAATCCCCCATTTACTTCATCCAGGACTTGACGACTCTGGGAGACCTCTGGGTGCCATTTTGGCCTGGAAACTCAGGGACCCTAAGTGGGTGCCACTCCTGGCCTTGTGCTCTTGATTCTTGTTCATGGGTAGCACAGTGAGAATTTGTTTTGTATTCTTTTTGAGTACTTGTTTGATTTCTGGGGCTAGGTTCTTTTGGTTTCCTGTCCTAACCACTTGGTGATCTCTTTAAATGGACTGTTGGTTTATAAAGGTCTTGTCTCTGTTGTGTGAGAGATGGGAGAATGTGTGGTTTACGATTTTTTTTTTTCTGTTTGCCTATTTTGAGTTTAAATCAACTAAGGGTTTGAAGCCACTAGGAAGGTGGTTTGGAGATGTGGCCAACAAAATAGATGGATCAAGTTGAGCTATCTTGAGGTTTCATTTGAATTTGTTGGATTGGCTATTTTATATATAGGCAAGGAACATGCAATAATTAGTTTGTTGTAAAATACAATCTGTTCCTTCAAATAGGCTTACATGCAAATGATTGGTGAAGTCTCCTGAGGAGGCAGTGGTGTGCCAAGGCTGGGATTAGGAGAGTAGAGATCTGGGGAGCAGAGAGAAAGATTGGTGGGGAAAGGGCAAGAGAAAGAGAGAAATCCAAAACAAGTAAATGAATACACGGAGATTAAGCCAACATGGAGCATGAAGAGGAGACGGA